GCAAGACATGACAATTGAGTCAGTGCCACAGTAAGTCTGATTAATACAAGGAGAGAGACCTCACTCCACCAAAAATCACATAAGTCACTGATCCTTTCAACTGTCAATTCAATTTATACCTTCCCTGAAGCCCATAAATATGATCTGTGTCTTTCTACTCAGGAAAAGGAAATGGAACAGAGATGACAAATTTGCCCTACACGCACCTAGTTACCCTATCCCTTTTCTTTCTAGGTTTCCTCCCAAAATTGTCTACAAAATAATCTCAACTCCTTCATCAACCTCTTACTCTAAATTCATTGTAATCTAGCCCAACCTATTTCTTTCTTGGGGAACTTGATTCCTAATACCTCTCATCTTTGATGGTCATCACCAGAGATTTTGATTATTGGACTGTCACATTGCTTTGTGAAAAAATTTCAAAGTTTAAAATTTGTCTAGTATCAAAGTTATACTTCAATTACTGGAATTACTAGTAATGATGCAATCAAATGCTATAATCTTATATATAATGTTTAGAAATCCATCATATTTTTCTCCCTATTTTCTAATATTTTTATCTAGAATTGAATTATAAATAATAATATTAGAATTCTAACTTTAAAAAAAATGTATTGATTACAGAGAGGAAGGGAGAGATAGAAACATCAATGATGAAAGAGAATCATCAATGGGCTGCCTCCTGCCTGCCCCACACTGGGGATTGAGCCCACAACCCTGGCATATGACCTGACTGGGAATTGAACTGTGACCTCCTAGTTCATAGGTTGACTCTCAACCACTGAGCCATGCCAGCTGTGCTAGAACTCTAAATTTTAATAGTAGGATTTAGGATTTGCTGTCACCAATTTAACACTTTCATGATCTTCAATGTGTAATTTCAAAGAAGATTCAAATGTAGTTTATTATTTTTTTGTAGTTAAAAAAATAAAGAAGATATTCCCTTACTTTAATAATTCTGTTAATTCAAAGTAAACCAACCACTCACCCATCCAATGTGTCATCTCTCTTCAAAAAAAGGATACAGTTGACCCTTAAACAAGATAGGTTTGAACTGCATGGGCCCACTAACACATCAATTTTTGTTTGCTTGAATGTTTTCCTTTTTTGGTAAATACAATCAGCCCTCATATCCTTGGGTTTCACATCTTTAGATTCAGCCAACCCAGGATGGAAAACAGGAATTTTGGATTCCCAACTGCCAACTCACCTCCATAAATTCCTTACCACAGAGAGGAAATACTGTTTTGGGACCATGGTTGGTTGAATCCATGGCTGTGAAAGGCAGATTGTAGTCAAAGTTACATATGGATTTTCCACTGCACTGGGACTGGTGCTCCCAAACCTGTGTTGTTCAAGAATCCACTGTACATGTTTTCTAGGTGAATAATGTTAGGTAAATGATTTAATTTCTTGAGCTTCAGTCTGCTCCATTTGAAGAAGAATATAATAATATGTTTCTCAAGTAGTTTTTATAAAAATCGAATTTAACCATGGACTGATTGTACAGTGCTATGCAAATGTGATGTGTATCTACTTCTTATGTTATCTGGCAGAAGGTCCTGTTCCCATAAAATGCCCATCTACTGCCAGCTGCTTTTGTTCTAGTGTTGTTAAGACTTCCTGAATGTTTATTTTTGGAGCCAGACTTAGACCAGAACTTGAGTCCCAACTGCCCTTTACTAACAGTAAATTCATGGACTAGTCTCCCCATAATTTCAATTATTCATCTAGAAAAAAAGAAAGATATGCTGTTGGTTTGATGTTTAAATTGAAATAATGTGGAGTGCCTATAGTACTTACTTATGATGATCATAATTTAAGTATTGCATTGCTAACTGCTGTGTTAAAAGATGGCAAATACTCTTTGTGAGGTTCCACTGGGCACCATCCCTAAATAGTAACTTAGGCAGGAGATGGAAAAATACCAGCAGTGAGGCAGTATGTAGTGCAAAACCTGGGAGAAAACAAAAACCAATTGGGACCTACATGAAAACCAACTCCTACTGTAGCCTTCCTCCCATTTTTATGCCAGCAAAATGATTTCATGGCTAAACTTTAGCAGAGAGAGTCTCAGCAAGAAACCCCTAAATAGAAAGAGAAGCTGAAGAGTTTAATGTTTATATATATAATGTGTATGTGTATATACATATATATGTATATACACATTTATATGTATATACACATTTATATGTGTATAAATACACTGTATAATAAAAGAGTAATATGCAAATTGACCATACCTCTGCTAAACCCACAAGCCATGCCCACCAGCCACATCCACCAGCCAATCAGGAGCTAATATACAAATAAACCCAATCAAGATGGCTATGGTCATGGAGAGCAAGAGGGAGACTTGGGTTTCCCTTGCAATGGAGGAAGCCAAGCTTTCTGCCTGCCCTTGCTGGCCTTGGCTGGGAGTCTGTCCATTGGAGCCAGCTGGGGGGTCCCTTCCCAAAGCCAAGCCTCTGCCAGAGGCTTTCGGCCTTGGCCGGGGTCAGAGCCGGGCGATCAAGCCAGCTTGGGGTCCCTGCCCAGGCCAAGCCAGGCAATTGGAGCCAACAGGGGGTCCCATGCCCAGGGCTGGAGGCTTTAGGCCTTGGCAGGGGCAGAGCCAGAAATCGGATGAGATAGGTGTAAACTACAGAGGAAACACCTTTTCTGACCACTCATTGGCTGAGCTCCCTGTAAGCCACTGGTAATATTCTTAGTAACTTGGGTATAAGAGTCCAAAAAGGTGATCTAGGGTTTTTCCATCATACTCCTGGAGAAAAAAAAAGAAGGTCCAATGCTGGAGGGCTAAGAAATGTCATAACCTTCCCTAGGCAGTTCAGCTCAGTGGATAAGGACTAGGTTTACCAAGAGCAAGATCTGGGTTAGATTCTGATCAGGGGCATGTACCTTAGTTGCAGGCTCCTCCCTAGCTGGGGCCCAGGTCAGGGCTCATGCAGGAGGCAACCAATCAATCAAGTGTACATCTCACTTTGATGTCTCTATCTTTCCCTTTCTCTTCCACATTCTCTAAAAAATCAATGGAAGCATATTCTCAGGTGAGGAAGAAAGGAAGAAAAAAAAAGAAAGAGAGAGAGAGAGAAAGGGAGAGAGAGAGAGAGGGAGAGGGAGAGAGAGAGAGAGAGAGAGAGAGAGAGAGAGAGAGAGAGAGAGAGAGAGAGAGAAGGAAGGAAGGAAGGAAGGAAGGAAGGAAGGAAGGAAGGAAGGAAGGAAGGAAGAAAAGAAAAATCATATACTATGAAAGACGTATCTTGAAAATGCCTAAAAAAAGTTGTCATTTTTTCGTGGTGAAGGGGCCAGAGTCTGTGTTGATGAAAACACCTTGGTGAATGCAGTGACTGGCAATGGCTACAGCAGTGGGGTGATGGAGCTGGTGCCTTTCCCTGATCAGCCTGGTCGTCTTCCACAAAGGGAGGCCAGACTTCGGTAGGACATCCCTTGAGGGCTCCCAGTATGTGAGAGGGGGCAGGCTGGGCTGAGGGGACTCCCACCCACCCAGTGCACAAATTTCATGCACCAGGACCATAGTGTGTGTGTGTGTGTGTGTGTGTGTGTGTGTGTGTGTGTGTAGTCCCAACAATGTGTGTATATGTGTGTGTGTGTATATATATATATATATATATATATATATATATAGTTATAGTTATAAAGCAGTGTTTATTAAAATACATTTCCTTTTCAAAATTGAGTTATTATCTGTTAAAGTGTGTATGCATTTTGGGGGAACACTATATACACTGAGTGGCCAGATTATTATGATCTCTAAAACGCATAATAATCTGGCCACTCAGTATACTTCTCTTGAGTACCTCATTTATTTGCTATCAAAGACATTATAAATCATGCACCTGATCAGTTTCCCCCTTTGCACTGGCTGATAGGAAGCTCAGGGCAAATAGGTGGTTGATCTCTAGCAAAAGTCTAAAATACTTTTGGTACCCACTTGAGATACAAATACACTGAGTGGCCATATTATTATGCATTCAGAGATCATGTATCTTTGTGTTTGTGTGTGTGTATATAAAATTTGGTATTAATACATTTACTCACAGAGTGGAAAAATATATTTTATTTGGCATTTGGCAGAAGGCCATTTGGAAGGACCATCATAAACTACCTGGTAGCACTATATAATTCTGAATGTTTTCCCATGGTAAATAATCTAATTCGGACAACAAAATACTCCCATTTGGTGTATTTCTTTGCCAAGAACTGTGCTGGGCATTTTACGAACATCCTCACTAGGCTGTACAATTTGGTTCAATAAGAACCATTACTTCATCTCACAGATGAGGAACTGAGGCACAGAGAGATTAAGTAAGGATTAAGTAAGGTATCAGTGAATAAAGATCTTAGAAAATATTGGTGGTTGGATTCAAAATAGTGTCTAACCATCTGCAAAGCCCATGTCCTTCCCACTATAGCCTGATGCCTCCATTATAAGTTCTCGTGTCTCCCATTGTTAGCTTTTTTACACCAACTCCTGTTAGTGGCTATTCTTCCTTTGCTCTTTTATTTTGTTTATGCACCTCTCTAGGAAAAAGCACACAACAGAATCCTCTTTGATATATATGGATGGATAGATATAGATAGATGATGTGATAGATGATAGATAGATAGATAGATAGATAGATAGATAATGTACACACACAATCATAGATAATGTACACACACAATCATACTTTCTTTAAAATATATTTTATTGATTTTCCACAGAGAGGAAAAGAGAGGGATAGAGAGCTAGAAACATTGATGAAAGAGAAACATCTACCAGCTGCCTCCTGCACACTCCCTACTGGGAATGTGCCCACAACCAATGTACATGCCCTTGACCGGAATCAAACCTGGGACCTTTCAGTTCACAGACCGACGCTCTATCCACTGAGTCAAACCAGTTTTGGCATACTTTTTAACTCTTAAATTCATCCTGTGGATCTTGTTATTCTGCTTATGCACGTTGCTTATGCTCAGCGTGTATTCTCGCCCAGGTGTGCAAAGCAGCTGGTTCACAATAATCTCCCAACCACCAGTGTCATCATGTGCTTTGTGGATGAGGTGTGGTCCACTCTCCTGAGGTCTGTTCACAGTGTCCTCAATCGCTCTCCTCCACATCTCATCAAGGAGATTCTGCTGGTGGATGACTGTAGCTCCAAAGGTAAGAAAACTGATCCTGAAAAAATCAAAGTTTGATATAAAACAATTGAACTGACGATTCTTGGGGAAAAGGGGAGAAGGGGATGTGGGAAGAGACTGAACATAAACTGTGCACCTATGGATGAGGACAATGGGGAGTGGGGAAAGGGCAGAGGGTGGGGTGGGAACCTGGTGGAGGAGAGCAATGGTGGGAGGGGGGAAAAAAGGAACATTTGTAATAATATGAACAATAAAAATTTATTTAAAAAAAACAATTGCAGTTTGGATGTATGGTAAAATTACTGGGTAATCCGATAAAGCATATACATTTTACAAATGACAAATCATCGTTCCTAACAACTATCTGGAGCCCTGTCCAGTTAGCTTGCCCAAACTTCCTTTCCACTGTAACTTCTCAGCCACAGAGGAGTGACTTTCTAACTTTTGCCTCTTGGAGACAGGTACTATGAAATCTGAAGATGTTCTCTCAATTGCACAAACACTTTTTTATGGATCTAATAAGCAAACACCTCACAATTAATGGGGTACCTTTTCTATAAATAGCGTTTGAGTTAGACTCTGTGGGAAACAAGGGAATGGAAGGCCTATGGCTTCTTCCTCAAGAGCAAAACATATTATATTTTCAGTTAAGTGTTAAGATGAATTGCCAATGGGACCATAGAGATAAGGTTTTAATGAAGTTCAGAAGCAGAATCCACCACTGTAAGGCTTTACGTTTGTTTTGTTTATTACAGAAAAGACTCTCTTTCTTTGGATTTTCAATAAATTTGTGTGTGTAAGTGGTCCCATGACTAACAGAGGTTCCATGACTGCCATGTTATAAATTCCCAAAAGGCAGCCAACTTCCAAAAAGCTTAGAAAATAGTAAAGAGTTGCCAACCCTTAATAGAGCAGATTAGCCTTGTTCGTGACCACAATGACAGCCAATTTTCTCAGCCTCAGAGTTTCCCACCGGAATCACACGGAGCCCCTGAAGCTAGGCAATGCTTAAGGAAAACTAATTGAAAACTTTAAGAAAGCGTACACAGAAAGAGTATATAGTAGTTACTAAACAGATAACAGTCTCTTTAGGAATGGCGTGTCCTGATTTTGTGGGACCTGAAGCTTCTATGGAGTCTTTTTAAGAAAAACAACACAAAGTGAGTAGGAAAGTGAGCAGCAGAAGTATTCCTAAAGCCAGTCCTTCTTGAGAATGTTAATTACACATAGAAGTGATCACAAGGCACATCAAAATACCTCATAAAATATCACACACACACACACACACACACACACACACACACACACACACTCCTTTAGCTGCCATCCAACAAGACATGGTAGGTGTGATGGAGGGGGATGTCACAGCAGGAAGTGACAGTATTCTTAAACAATTACAGTTGCAATATCTTTCTTTTGCAAATTTTTTAGTTTGCATACAATGCTTAGCCTTTTCCCTGGGCCTTAGAAGGGGATTTTGTTAAGGGGGTTGGGGGAGGAGAGTGGATGGTACAACTTTAATTTATTTCTAGGTAAATTTGCCCCTGTACTTACTAATACTCAGAAAAGGTGATCCCTCCTGTGTGTAATTTGGCAACACAGAGAAGAAGGACTTGAGATTTAAGAAAAACAGTTGGAAAAAGAAGAGAGTTGAGTATTGAACCCAGATAAAAATTCATCCCAAAAAATGACATCAGAAAAGAAAATAATTGCCAATGAAATAAAATTTCATTTGCAACAGCATGGATGGACCTACAGGGTATTATGCTAAGTGGAATAAGTCAGAAGGAGAAAGACAATCACCATATGATTTTACTTATATATGAATTCTAAAAAATAAAAAATAAAATAAATGAGCAAACAATACATAAATGAACTCATAGATCCAGCAAGCAAATTGATGATTACCAGGTGGGAAGGGGATTGTAGGGATTGGTGAAAAATATGAAGGGATTAAGAAGTACAAATTACCACTTATAAAATTAGTTATAGGGATGTAAAGTACAGTACAGGGAATATAGTCAATAATATTATAATAACTATGTATGGTGTCAGATGGGTACTAGACTTATTGGGGTGATCATTTCATAAGCTATATAAATGTTTAATCATTATGTTTCACACCTGAAACTAATATACCGTATTTTTTGGACCATAAGACACTCTGGACCATAAGACGCACCAGTTTTTAGAGAAGGGAAATGAAGAAAAAAAGATTCTGAAACAAATAGTGTCCTAAAATATTTTATGTGCATTAAAACCCAACATCACAGTCATAAACACATGTAATCAACCCTGTAAAGTAAACAGCAGCATTTAGAACCATTTTAGAGCCGGGCAAGCACACAGAGACCACACAGAGCCGGGCAAGTAAAAAAACTTTTTTTTTAAAGTATATGCGTAGGCTATATTTGGACCATAAGACGCAGGGACTTTTTCCCCCCACTTCTGGGGGGAAAAAAGTGCGTCTTATGGTCCGAAAAATACGGTAATATTGTATGTCAACTATAATTGAAAAAAATGTATTTTTTAAATATCATAATTTTTGGAGTTTATCATTTTGGTATTATCCAGATCTAGTTAAGTGATGTCTTTTTTACTCTCACACTCTGATATAGATTACCTAAAAGATAATTTGGATAAATACATGTCTCAGTTTCCAAAAGTTCGGATTCTTCGCCTCAAAGAGAGACATGGTTTAATAAGAGCCAGACTGGCAGGGGCACGGATTGCAACAGGTAAGAAGCTGCTGATTTTCTGTTTTGGTTACATTTTTATTTTATTTTAATATTTTAAAATGCATCAAATGTGAAATAATTGTACAGTGCATCCATATATCTGTCATTTTTTTTTTGCAATATGTGCTTCATCACACATATACAGACACGTCTATACATACACACCTTTTTTTTGAACTTTTGGAAAGGAATTTACAGACATCATAACACTGTATCTAATACCTCAGCAGGCATCTCTGAAGAACAGAGACATTCCCATACATACATACTCCCATACATAGGCACAAATTTGCAGACTTAAATATTACCTAATATATCATCCTTTCAAATTTTCTCATTGCTCCCAAAATATTTTATATAGCTGGGTTTTTTTTGTTTTTTTTTTCAAATTTGAGAACTAATTAAGTTTCATGCACTGAGTTTGGTTGTTCGCTCTCCTTAGTCCCTCAGTGTAGAATAGATGTCGCAACCATTGACTTGTGGTGTGTGTGTTTTCGAAGAATATAGGCCATTTGTTTTGTATAATCGACCACAGTCTAAAATTTCCTCTTTCTTCCTGTCACCTACAGGATAAATGTTTTTGGCATGAATACTATAGAGAACTCAACTGCATTAAGTGAAGGAATTGTGTACTTATTGCCTCAAATCAAGAGGTACATGATGTCAGGTTGCCCCGCTGTTGGTAATACTCATTTTTAAGCACTTGGTTAAGATATCAGCAGCTATTTGGTAATGAAAAGTTACTTGTGGGATGATTCTTTGATCCAATCAAATATCTCGTTTTCCTCACAGACTATAGCTAATGGGTTAGCATTCAATGATAATCATTGCTTGATTCAGTTACTACACTGAGAGCTGCAAATTTATTTTTCTAATTCTATCATTTCTTTTTTATTAGCTGCCATTGACTTGTAAAATAGTAAGCTCTCCCTTTTTCCCCTCTCTCCTTTTTTTTCTCCCCTCTAATGCACCTATCACTATGGATTTATAACTTTAAAAAATTAAATGTGTATCTTATCAGCATTATTGGGGGGGGGGGGATGTGCTCAATTGTCCCAAATCTGAACACCAAGAGCCCTTTCAAGCCTGACCCCATCAATATTTCAGATCTTCAGAATTTTAAAATTGTCTCTCCTCTGACATATGCTTGCACTTCTGATAGCCCTTTCTGTCTTCCTAAAGAGCAATATGACTTGTTGTCTTCACCCCTTTTTAGTGTGTGGGTGTTGGTAATGAATGGGAGGAAGTGAATCTTTTCTATCCATGGGTATTCTAAAATGAACATCATGCATTTGGTTCATTTTCACATCTTCTATGGAAGGACCTCATAAAAAATATCTGACATTTTGTACCAGGTATCATTCTAAAAACTTTCTACAGTAACTGAATTAATCCTCTAATAATTCTGTGAGGTAGGTACAACCATTTTCATTTTACATATTAAGAAATATAGACACAGTGAGGTTGTGATTTGTCCATGTTCTCCTAGCTAATAAGTTGTAGAGCCAGGATTGGAACACAGAAACCTTTACTCCAGACTCTTCACTCTTATTTACTCCACTTTTCTGTCTTTAAATAGGTAGACACCATTCTGCCCCTGTAAGTCATGGCATTGCAAATCCCCACCTGATTGCATTCAAGCATATCCAGATGGTGAATTATGTGCTCACCTGAGTTTCAATTCCTGTAACTATAGCTCAGATTTGGAAGTCTTCTTATCCCATTGCTTTGCTAAAAAATAGTTTTCTCTCTCGGTAATATAAATTTTCAATTGACAACAAATATATCACACAAAAATGGCATTGCAGTGACAACTAAGACTTTCTTTTTTTTTCAAAATATATATTTTTATTGATGTTTTACAGAGAGGAGGAGAGAGGGATAGAGAGCTAGAAACGTTGATGAGAGAGAAACATCGACCAGCTGCCTCTTGCACACCCCCTACCAGGGATGTGCCCGCAACCAATGTACATGCCCTTGACCAGAATCAAACCCGGGACCTTTCAGTCTGCAGACCGATGCTCTACCACTGAGCCAAACCGGTTTCGGCACAACTAAGACTTTCTTAACAATTAAGTGCATTTGGACAAAAATAAATAAACTTCCATGTTTGATTTTCTATGGAAAATAATTGTCCACAAATGATACAAGACTAGACTGGTCGAGAAATAGTCCAAGTAGGTAACTTTTGAGCTGTGATCTAGTTGAAGAACATTTCCAGGAAAATGGAACAAAAAGTATAAATACACTGATGCAGAAACAAACTCTGTATATTCGGGATAAAGAAAGCAGTTTTGACTGATGAATGCTAACTATGGAAAGAAAGGTAGGAGATTCATTTAGGAAGAAAGGCAACGGTAGGCGTTTAAAAGCGTATGCATCATTTAAGGAGTGTAGGTATTATTCTTGGGATAATGTAATGCCAATAAAGACATTAATGAGGATAGTAAAACTGTCTGATTTATATTTTGAAAGCTCACTGTGGTCACTTTGTAGAGAATTAATAAAGGGAGATGAGAGAGAAACTAGGGAGACCAATAAGGTGGCTACTGTAGTTATCTAGGCACCAGGAAGGTACCAAGACAGATAGAGGAAGTGGTCAGACTTAGAATATATTGTGGACATGGAACTTACAAGACTTGACATCAGCCGAAACCGGTTTGGCTCAATGGATAGAGCGTCGGCTTGGGGACTAAAAGGTCCTGGATTCTATTCCAGTCAAGGGCATGTACCTTGGTTGCGGGCATATCCAGTAGGGGGTGTGCAAGAGGCAGCTGACCGATGACTCTCTCTCATCGATGTTTCTAACTCTCTATCCCTCTCTTCCTCTCTGTACAAAATCAATAAAATATATATTTAAAAAAATAAAAAGTCACTGTTTAAAAAAAAAAAAAAGACTTGACATCAGATAAGATGTGAAGAAAGTAATAACAAGAGGAGTTAAAAAAGAAACCTGGGATTGGAAAGAATTTGAACAACTAAATGGGCAGTAAGATCATAGCCAGAGGAATAGATTTGGGATTACAAATGAGTTCTGATTTTGTTCATATAAGTTGGAGATGAAAATTAGACATCCATGTAGATGCTTAAGAAAGCTGATGAATACAGAACCACAAGTGATTTGCTTGTAAAAAAATTTCCATTGCCTGCCTAGGGTACAAAACATGCTGGTAAGAATCTTCATAATAGTCTAAATTGTTAGACAACATGAGAAGCTGTCTTCAAATGGAATGTTATGAACTTGATCAAAGCAGTTGCCTAATTGGCCCATTCAAGCTCTTGTAATTACAACTGTAAACTAATTTCTTTGAATTTAATAAATCCAAATATGAAAATATGAATCTGTTTCTCAGTCATTCATTAGCACCCTTGAGTACATTAGCTCAGTTTTATTTTACTAACCTTTAAGCTATTATATCATAAGATAAATTTTTACATCACAACCAAGTATCGTTTCTGAAATTCTGAGTCTTCTACAAAATAATAAGGGCACAGCAGTGACTCTGATCCCTAGCCATGTCCACTATTAATTCAGGCTCTAGGGCTCAATCAGTTCTTCATCTGAATCTGATTCAGGCAAAAAACAAACAAACAAACAAACAAACAAACAAAAAACTCCAATCAGTTATTTACTAGGAACAAGGAGGTAGAGAGGACATGTGAAGGGAATGTGAAGGGAAGGCTGTGGTCAATGAATTTCTAGGGTAAGGCTCCCATATGAAAGCAACAGAAGTAAGAAAAGATGTGGTAGTCGAGGTACAAGGAAATAAACCAACCAGCTGGCCAAGTGACTTCTTGCCCTGCCAAGAGGAGCCTGTTGTCAGGAAGATTCAGTAGAGAGTCAGAGTAGAGATCAGACTTTCATTTCCTTCATGGCCTTTCACAAAATACTTGACATTGCTCTTTGCATTCCAAAGGATCAGTTGGCTAACTTTAAAAAGTGGCATCTGACTCCTGGCCAACTCTGAGGTCTCCTAAAGAGCAACAGCCCTGTACATTTCTGCCACTAGTTTCTGCTGAAGTCAACACAGGTGGTTTTCTGAGCATCACTTATAAATCATTATGCAAACTTAAGTGGTGAGCCAGGTCCACATTCCTCAAGGAACCCTAAACACAACATTCCAGCACTACTGTGTGCTGGCAGCAATCTCTCAAGCTGGTCGGCTAAATATAAGTAGGAGTCGTGCTCAAAAAGGAGCCAAAAATGTCTGGCACATTGAGTGGCTCTGGGGTGGCCAAAAAAATAAATAATAAGTTACAGTGAAACCCATATACAAACACTCCAGCATTACTGGAACTTACTCCTAGAAAACAAACAAAAAACCCTGCCAGGTGGCTATCTAGATTGAGTTAATTATTTAGATTGAGCTGCAACTTAAACATTCATTGTTTAAGGGAAAAAAATATAAACAACACTCACCACTTATTAAGCATTTAGGTATTAAGTAGATATTAGAAATAGCCTCATAAGGGAAAGCTCAAAGAGCTGTAAGTTAACTATCCAATGTGGCTAAGGGCAGCTGTTCTGGCATGAAGACAGTTCTGTGTGACTTCAATCCTATGTTCATTTCACCATGCCTCTCAGCCTTTCGTTAAGAACAGAGTGTAAAATATCCATAAACCATATCCAGAACAATTAGAAATCCCACTCAAAGTTAGAGACACAGCTCCCTGTTCTGATTTCCGTGATCCTGTTTAAAAATAAAATGTCTGAGTGTGGAGCAATGACATTCTTGCTCGGGAGGTCTCATCCCTCCCAAAATACAGTATAAAAAGTCATTCGATCCAGGGGTCCTCAAACTTTTTAAAGTGGGGGCCAGATCACGGTCCCTCAGAGAGCTGGGGGGCCGGACTATATGAACTACTAATTCCTACTGTAACACCTCGGCTGTGCTCACTGCCCAAAAAACCTGGCGGGCCGGATCAGACTCCTCTGCGGGCCGCATGTGGCCCGCGGGCCGTAGTTTGAAGACGCCTAAAATGCTCTTTCCCTCGGGTTTCCAGCAATAAGTGAATGAGAAACTTTGTGGGGATTTGGGACAGACAGGAATTGAAGACAAGATTGGGGACCCCTTCACCTGCCACTGGTGCCTGAAGAAGATGATCTGACCCTTTGACCCTTTGAGCCTACTGTGGGGATAGGGATAGGGTCTAGCAGAAACTGCTATTTAAACTCTGGGTCTGAATGGACAGAAGTGGAGTGGGATCTGCTTAGGTTCTTTGTTCCTCAGTTTTCTTATCTCTTAAATGGGAATAAACTTAGATCTATACTTCAGGTTTATTGTAAGGATTATACAACTATGTATAATGCTTACAACAGGGTCTGGCATAGAGCAAGCACTTCATAGGAGATAAATGATGTTATTAAAGTTTGACAAAAGCAGAGGAGAGCAGCCAGGTGTCAGAGTGATCAATTAACACAATGAGCCCAAATGCAAGTACAGTCACTGCTTTCCTTACTTGCTTCCATAGTGTAAGTAAAGAAGCTAAACAAGAAGAAAGTCTTGGCTCCCCCAGTGCTGACTTTCCCCCCATGGAATGGAGCTGGGCTGGTGAACTAGAGCAGATATCAATCTTGCTGTGAAAGGAATCCAGAATGAAAGGCTGAGAGAGAAGGGTTAAGAATAGAAAAGTACTGACTACTGTGCCAGGCCAGCATGCCTCAGTGTTTGAGGTTCAACCTATGAGCCAGGAGGTCATGGTTCCATTCTCAGTCAAGGCACATGCCCAGTGTGGGGCATGCAGAAGGCAGCCTATCAATGATACTCTCATCATTGATGTTTCTCTCTCCCTCTCCCTCTCCCATTCTCTCTGAAATCACTAAAAATATAATTTTATATAAGAAAAGTACTGAGTGAGAGTATACAAAAATGTTTTCAAGATCCACCCACCTTCCATAAGATGAGACAGAGATATCGGCCTTAGAGGGAGGCCTCCAAATAGAAAAACCTGGGCTAGAAACAGATATCCATAAAAGTGGATAGGGAGGGAAGGGAACAGCTGAGAGGGAAAGAAGGCCTGCATCCTGGACTGCACCTCCCTCCAATGCACCAGCTGTGCACCAAGTCTTCAAGGGGAGGGTGGGGTAAAGCTTTTGTAATTGCTTATGGTAGAGCCTGAAAGATTCCACATAGGATTTTGGCAAGCCAGATCCCTCTGAGTATTATTAATATCTCTCTCTCTCTCTCTTTCTCTCTCTCTCTCTTTCTCTCTCTCTCTCTCTCTCTCTCTCTCACACACACACACACACACACACACACACACACACACACACTTCTTGAAACAATATAGATACTGCTGAGATTTTCATTGAAAGGAGAAAGAGTGTTACTTCACCCAACTAATTTTTTAAAAAGAATTCTTAATACATATTTCTGGCCTCTGAGTTCTATTTTTTCTCTTACAACATTTTGAAATTGTGATAAAAGATGCATAACATAAAATTTTACCATCTTAACCATTTTTCAATATATAGTTCTGTACTGTGAAGTATACTAGTATTTCCATTGTTGTGCAACCAATCTCAGAACTCTTTTCATCTTGCAAAACTCAAACTCTAGACCCATTAAACAACCATTTTAACACTGCCTCTTAGACTTCCTGCTTCCTCTACCTTAACTTCTTTTCACCCCTATAATGTAGAGCAGTTTTTCCTCTTCATCATCCTAAGACCAAATGTGGAATCTCAAACTTCTCCTGCTCTTTTGAAGAACAAAATCCCAGTTCTCCACCTCCAGAGTTTTTGGGATGCATCCCCTTAAATTAGAAGGACATAAGCAACCACTTCTAATGTTAAGTATTCCCTTCAGAATTTTGCCTACCCAATTTATGTGGCTTATCAATTTTTTTGCAAACATAAACAGCACTTGCCCCATGCGACTGCTAGAAAAAAATGTCTTTTATTCCATTGTAAAACAAAATGATAGGAACAAGGAATTCAGTGAGAAAAGAAGACTTCTGCCTTTACAAGCACACTTCTGGAACAATATCTAAGACCTTATATGACATTTTCAAATGGATTTTTTTTTCTGGCTCTTTAGGTGATGTGTTGACATTTTTAGATTCTCATGTGGAATGTAACATTGGTTGGTTGGAACCTCTTCTGGAAAGAGTTTATTTAAGTAGAAAAAAAGTAGCCTGTCCAGTAATTGAAGTCATCAACGATAAGGATATGAGGTAATATTGTCATATTCCACAAGATGCTTCTAAGTAAGTCTTTAACCAGCAGCAACAGAAAATACTGATCACACTCATCATGGGTGCATTTTTGCAAATCTAAGAAATACACAGGTTATCCATAAATAAATGGAAATAGATGATAGATATCTTGGGATCAGGGCAGGCAAATCTGTTTATTTGATCATGACAAATTCTTAACCCTTAACTCCATTGTCCAGTTCTTTCCTCTTTGTATTCAACTGAACCAAAAATACGTATTTTCCTTAGAACATTATTTTTTGTTTAAGTATAAGTTGAAAATAAGTAATTCAGCCAATTGGTCACTATTGCAAATTGTACTTACAAATTTTCTAAAAATGTTCTTTAAAAGTTTGTAGTGATCTAAAGTCATCTGCATAAACACTGGTTTTATTCATTAAACAAGACATGGCTTTGGGTCTGTTAAGTATACATGTATGATCTCAAGTAGCACTTTTGGTCTTTCCCTGAACTAGTTACATGACAGTGGATAACTTTCAAAGAGGCGTCTTTGTGTGGCCCTTGAACTTTGCTTGGAGAACAATTCCTCCAGACGTTATTGCAAAAAACAACATTAAAGAAACTGATGTAATAAGGTAAGTGTTTGAAATTTAATTTTAGGAAACAGTCATGTGTTTTTTAAGCCCTAGTATGTTTTTTATTCATTTTTGTTTGTTTTTAGAGAGGGAGGAAAGGAGAGGGAAAGACACACACATTAATGACAGAGAACCATTGATCAGCTGTCTCCTGCATGCTCCCTACTGGGGATCAAGCCCACAACCAGGGCATGTGCCCTAACTAGTAATTGAACCGTTATCTTCTAGTTCATGGGATGATACTCAATCAACTGAGACACACTAGCCAGGGTTCATGCGTCTTTTTATAAAGGCATAGGAAGCAATTTTACCAAGAAAGTCTATTCTGTCATTTAATAGGATATCAAGAATTATAGTTATAGCCAATAATCCAAAAGTAAACAAAATTTTCCTGAAAAAATAGTTTCCCACTACCAAAACTCATTTTTCAAATGGTCCACCGCACCTAGTCAGCCCTGAGTGCAGAGGAATTTTTTAACACATTTTCTGTTCTCTGGGATTTACAACTCAAGATACATTGAGCTAGTTGAATATATATCGCATATATGCTATAAAAACACACATAATATTGAAGTCAATATGAGTTAAAATTAGGAGAGCAAATAATAGTAATAGAAGTATCATTGTAATAAAAATAATAGCTACTATTAGGATTTTCTTTTCGAATCTAGTCTTCCCTTCATAGGATAGCTGCCAATTTCTATGAATGAATTAATAAATAGATGTGGAAGATAGATATGAATTAAAATTGGAGCTTTATTGCTGGAGAATCTGGATTGAAGAGCACAACTTATACCTGAAGTTGAAGTGGAGGCTTCCTAACACTTGCCCTAGAGTCCAGCCCTGCAGGACAAGCAGGCAGCCAGCCCCAGGCTGTGCAGTGGGAGCTCTGAGCTTTCCTTGTCTGAGAGAGTTATGTAGACTCAAGACAGCAAGTTCCAAGAGAGAGCCCAAGCCCAGACTATGCATTGCAGCATGCTTTCCCTGAATGTAATCTCAATAAAGCACACTCATTCCTTGCCTTGTATGATGCTTCAGGACTGATGCTCTAGCTAGTGAAGTAGGAGTACTGTTATTTATCCAGCGCTCTGCTTTTAACCCACTCTATAACCCTAGGAGAGAGGGGGCAGTATTCCCTTATAGAGATGAAAAAATTGATACTTAAAAGAGTGAAGTAGCCCTAGCTGGTTTGGCTCAGTGGACAGAGCATTGGTCTGCAGACTGAAGGGTCTCAAGTTCAATTCCAGTCAAGGGCACATGCTCAGATGTCCAGCTCAATTCTCAGTAGGGGGGCATGCGGGAGGCAGCTGATTGGTGATTCCCTCTCCCTTTCTCTCTAAAATCAATAAAAATATATTAAAAAAATAGTGAAGTAATTTTCCCAGAGATACATAGATAGTTAAAGCAGAAATTGGGATTGAAACCCAGATCTGCCTGAACGTAACACTCTTGTTTTGATCCTGCACCTAAAGAATCTCTTTGCCTTTATTAGACTCTCATATTGAGGATCAATGGAGTAGTTGAGTTCAGAATAAACTCAACATAATATTAGGAAGGGAATGTATTCTGAATAATCTGGAAAGAACATTTGGGATACAGGTCATGCTAGTTCCAGGTCCCACCTTCCTTCTGCCACCATGAACCAGGGAAGTTGCCACTTCAATGCTGTTTGTGCTATTCCAAGACTTCCCCACACTTGGCAGCTATTCTGAAAAGCCTCACAAGCTATGATAACAACTGCGCTCCCATGATATACAAATGTAAAAAAAAAACAACCTTTTCTCATTGTAGGTGCCCTGTCATGGCAGGTGGATTGTTCTCTATTGATAAAAATTACTTTTATGAACTTGGAACATATGACCCTGGGCTTGATGTTTGGGGTGGAGAAAATATGGAGCTGTCATTCAAGGTATTACGAGTGTTTCTCAAATTCTATCTACAATTAAGAGCTTATACAATAGTTTTAAATGATTTCATTGTACTAATACAATCAGATATATGACTGCCCCAGGGTGGATTGTGTATGTTTGGAGGGATTTCACAGAAATTTTAGGGCCTCTGGATTAATGTTTTCATATCCAAGATTGAATTTGGAAGAATCAATAGCACTCATGAAATTTATTAGAGCTCCCTAATAATTCACAGTACTGTTTCTGCATCAGAATATGGGGGAAATAATTGCCTGTCATCCCGTGTAAACACTGTAGGATTCATACTTAATATAAAATAACTCTTTTGGAACATTTTTCTAATATATTGGAAGCAATGAAATTATTTAGTTATGGGTCATCTTGGAGAACACACATGACAGGAAGTGACCAAAAGGCAGGCTGCAGACAGGCCATAGTGCAGCAATTTGGGACATATCAGAGGACTCTGGGTATTTATAAAGTCACTGATTAATATCTGAAGCTGTAGCATAAGCCATAGGGGAGAGCATCCAAAAAACAATGGCTCTCCTATGCAGTAGGGTGATATTTAGTAAAAGTGGTATTATTTGAGCTCCTGATCAAGGAGAATGGTTTTCGAGTTGTGTGTGTTTGTGTGTGTGTGTGTTTTTAAGAAAATATATGCTTTTTTCCTTGATTCAACTAAAGCAGGAACTCATTTTACATAATGAGATTGTGAGGAATTTTTTGGAAAATAGAAATTTACATTGCAAAGGAAGGAAGGGGAAATATATATTTTACTGATTCTGAAATGATCCACAGCAATATGCAAAACTAAATAAACCTGTTGAGTTTAATTTTCTATTGAAGAAGAGTTTAGAAGTTGAGAGAGCTACTATGATAGGATATTATATTACTTCAAACAAAGTGGGGGAGGAGAATAGTCAGGTGGTTCCTTGTCATCATTAATTGCCCATAATTTGTGGACAAGGATTTGATAATTGATGCTTATCATTAAACTGTTCCAGGTGTGGATGTGTGGTGGCGAAATTGAGATCATTCCCTGTTCCAGAGTGGGCCACATTTTCAGAGGTGATAACCCATATTCCTTCCCCAAAGACCGGATGAAGACAGTGGAGCGGAACTTGGTGCGGGTGGCCGAGGTCTGGCTTGACGAGTATAAGGAGCTGTTCTATGGCCACGAGGAAAACCTCATAGACCAAGGGCTAGATGTCGGAAACCTCACCCAACAACGGGAACTTCGAAAGAAACTAAACTGCAAAAGTTTCAAATGGTACCTGGAGAATGTGTTTCCTGACTTGAAGGCTCCCATTGTGAGAGCTGGCGGTGTGGTAAGTTCAAGCAGCAATTTAAAATCTGACTCCATAAATAATAAAATGCCAATATACTTTTGAAAATGTGGGGGAAAGAATGAATTAATTATTACATTACAAATCAATACCAGGTATGAGTGCAGATGAGACAAAGCAGGGTTGAGGATGAAATAAAAGATAAACTTGGTGAAGGCTTCCAGGCAGCCATGTTCACTGATTAACTCAGCAAATATCTATTAAGTATCAATGAACCAAGCAGTATTTTAAAACTGAATTTCAGGTGATAAATTAAGTAGACTTGACCTCTTCATTGTGGAGCTTGGAACTGAGAAGAGAAAAAATATTATAAAAATAAGCAAGTAAAGAGTGAATAAATATAATAGCTCTCATTTGGGAGACAGGCCAACAGTGAAGAATCCATCTAAGTCAGAGTGGCCAACTGAGGAGATGTTGAAGGCTAGGTCTGAAAGACCAAGAGTCAGCCAAGTGCTAAAGGAGCACCAGGCACAGGATGCCCTTATGTGAAAACTCAGAGACTGATGACCATCCGAGATGTTCAAGAACTGGGAAGGACATGACTGTTGTTGTCAGGGTGTGAAGGAGGAAAGAATGGCACCAGGTGAAGTTGAAGAGGGAGAAAGGAGTCAGATCATATAGGTCCTTGTAGGAAAGATCCTTCCTTCCTTCTTTCCTTCCTTCTTTCCTTCCTTCTTTCCTCCCTTTCTTCTGAATGTAATGGTAAGTTATTGAGTAGGGTTAAATAATAGGATGGCATGATTTAGAGTTTTATAAATTTAAAAGTAACAAATTGTCAGACAACAGCAGAGAAAATTCCAAGATACAAGGTAATGTACTAAAAGGGAAGAAGCCAAGCTAGATAGGCGGGATAGAGGACAAAGCGAAGAAAAAATCAAGGAAGAGGAGAAACTTAGACAAAAGCCATTTCAACCTGTTCTAGGAGTGAGGCTAGATTTGAAGAGGATGACCAGATGTGAGGACATTTACCATAGGATGGGTTTGGAGATGGTTAGTCAAGTGTTGACCTGGAGCTCTTCCCTAGTTATGCATACTTTCATTTTTTTTTATTGTTCTATTTCTCATTTAAGGTTTACTGCCAGTGTTGTTTTATTTTCTTTAAGTTTCCTTTTTCTTCATGCCAGAGGTTCTCAGACTTGAACAGCAGTAAGCCTGCTTTCTTGAGCCAACTTTTTTCAGTTTGCCTTTGAAAGGATTGTGCAAACCAGCCATTCTTTGCGAAGCAAATCTCCTGATGACAAGGACTTAGTAAAACTATTCTCTCTGGTGGTATAAGGATAACCTGGAATATTGTGAAAGAGAGGAAAGTGGTCTGAATTTTGTTCTATTTGTTATGAAATTTAACTGACAAATGGGTACACATGATCTGTTTGTACATACCATAATGTATTATGGAATTGCCATCCTTATAGGTCAAAATAGAAACGTGCTGCCTCAGGTAGTTCAATCTGCTGTTTTATCTTAGGCAACTCAGTAGGAAGAATACCCTGGACTTATACACTATTCAAGAGATTTGTCTGTAAAATAAATTTATATTTTTAAATACTATCTCTTGAGCAGGAAAAGAAATTTTCACCATAGTAATTTTTTTCCTGTCCTAACCACACAAAATCTCAGCAAGACCATTACCAAGCTTTAGCCACCAGAGGGAACTAAAAAACTGTCTTTTGCCTTCTCTGTGTGGCTAACTTGTTTGCATTCTCATGAAATTTTTGAAGAGTTCTCCTAATGAAACAGCTTTTGGCTGATGCCTGAGTTATTATATGTAAAAATGCAAAAATAGATATTTTAACAAATTATTTCTCTCACTATCTGCTGCCTTCCTTAGACAAATTTTAATAAATATGGCATTTGCTTCCTTCTGAAGCAACCAGTAGGGAGCATTATTACCATTAAAAAACAAAACAAAACAAAAAATTAGGACTTTTCTTCAGGCAATGCAGAGTGAGATGTACTAGAATGTTATTCTGGATACACAATCTTAAAAAGTTCCATGAAAATGAATTCCACAACCTATACACTTAGGAATTTAAATCCAGTTAAGTTTTTTGTTTGTTTGTTTGTTTGTTTGTTGGCAGGGGGCGAGTGTGTGTGTGTGTGTGTGTGTGTGTTCTGTTTGTGTTTTTTAGTGAGAACAAGTAATTTCTTATTGAACCAAAAATATTTGGAATAAATAAAATAACTTCACCAATAATGTATATTTATATTGGATAAAATTCTTAGAAACAGGCCTATAGCCTAATGTTTAACAATTCTGTGATAAACTGAGACTAACTTCCATTCCCTAATTTGGCAATAAAATAATTCAAAATGAAAAGTTTAAAATTGATATACTACCTGATTTAAAAAATATATTTAAATGGTTTACTGTAAAATCATAAGTACAATTCTTTAAAAACAAAATGAAGCCCTGGTCTGTTGCTCAGTGGCTAGAGAGTCAGCTCACAGACCAGAGTTTTGCGTTTGATTCCCTCCCCCGCTCCCCACCACCACCACCACAAGGGCATATACCTCAGTTGAGGTTTCCCTGCCCCCATAGGGCTATGTATGAGAGGCAACCAATCGATGTGTCTCTCTCATGTTGATGTTTCTCTCTCTCCTCCTCCTCCCTCCCTTCTACTCTGTAAAACTCAATGGAAAAAATATCCTCAGGTGAGGATAAAATAGTACAGTATTTTTCCGGCGTATAAGACGACCCCCTAATTTTACACTTAAAACATAGGTTTAGACCTATATTCGCTGTATAAGACTACCTCCCACTACAAAGAAAAGACTTATTTTGCCGTCAAGATCTGCAGGTAATTTTTGTGCAATTTTGGCCTTTTGCCCCTGATTTTCGGTTGACTTTTTTTCATTTCAAAAGTCGTCTTATACGCCGGAAAATAAAATAAAATGACTCAATTTTGAAAACCATTCAAAATGAGATAAAGAATCACAGTTCTTTAGCACTTCATCAAATATTTTGTTATTAAGAAAAGGAGTTTCTCTAGTAAATTTCTCTAGTAATCACTGGTAAAGAGGGAAGGGAAATAGATCTTCAGATGAAGTGGGTGGGATCAGGGGGAGGGAGGCAAGGATAGAAAAGATTGCCCTTTTTCCTTCTAATGCCTCTCAGTTCTTGGAAGAAGGAATTGTACAAAATAAATACAAAGAAATCTATTGAACCTTGGGCTCCGAAACACTGTTCTGGGCCATCTTATTAGCTGTGCTGCCAAAACTAGGGATCCATGGTCAAATACATATGGCAAACAACACACTACATTTCTCTTAGAGCAGCAAGCTGAACATTATGATACCCTACTGAAAGTTCTGAAAGGTTCCGGGGTAAGACTACCTGTTCAAGAGATTGAAGCCAGAGATTTCCACACCCCTTTGACAATAAAATATTTTCTAAATTATCCACAATATTTTTATCTCTGTTTCATCTCTATTTACTCTTCTCTGAAGTTCACGATGGTTGATTCCTTCTGTGATTACTGACTGCTCCCACTTACTAATGGTGGGGGGGTTTCTCCCATATTTTCCATTTTAAATTGTGAACAGAGCTTTCTTTGAGATTTCTGACAGAGTTCATGTCCTTCTAGAATTTCTTTTGCATTCCAGCCAACCCCAAAGCAACCAACCGGCTACTATTTTTATGTTGTTTCAGTGCCTCAAGGGTCTGTCAGGTTTATACTCAATAATACAAGTGTAAATTCACATCTCAAATCCAAATGAAGGTCACTGTAAGTTTTTAGATCTGGCAGAATCTAGCCTCCCTGTGGCATCCCTCCCTGTGGCATCCCTTTTAGTTTAGTTTAGTTGTCATTTTTCTGCATTTTCTTGCCAGCTAAGCTATGAGTGGAAAAAGTGAGGACTAACTCACTGAGCATCATGTTCTGACACTGGTAGTTTTGTGAGCTACAGAGACTGCGTCATCACCCCAGAGTTACAGCTCTGTGTTAGGCATGTGGAGCAGGAGAGGGCACTAATAGTGTCCCTGGCAACTAAGCCCTCACCACCTCCCTGCTCCGCAGGCTCTCCAGAGTGGAAACTTGGTTTTATACAGCTCTTCTAGAAACCTGAGAAGTCTAAATTGCACTATTAACCCACAGCCTCGTTAGCCCTGCCCAGGATGTCAAGGGGGCAAGGGAATCAACATTTTTCTGCGTTAAATGGTGACTTATAGAAAGCTGCCTCTATATTTGACCCTGCAAATCCATTAAAGAGCTGGGGGCCTGCCAGAAAGTGCCTTTAAGCTTGGCTCCGTATTCATTTTCGTGACTTTCCTGTAATGAATTGTAGCTTGCCTGAGTCATTAGGAAGATTCTGACAGAGAATCAGCTGGAAATCTGCTGTTCTTGAAGGACTCAATTTATCTATCTGTGATTCAATGCCTGAGCAGTCAAGTAGCTTGGAGGGGTCAGCCAGGCAACAGAGCTCACAGCTGTCAGTTTGATTAAATTGCAAGTGTGTGCCCTGACTTTTAATATATGCATCAGACAAACTTGAGCCAAGAAAATAACTACTTTTTCTTGCCACCTTGTGCTCATTCCCTATTCAACATCCCAGGCAAGGGTTAATTAAAAGCTTCTGTTTGTTGGCTCTGTGGCTCAATTGAGAGATTGAAGTTGTACTTTAGCAAGATTGCATTATGTCTCTTAGAGATAGCAACCACTGAACTCTTACAGTGCTAAGTACTGCTGAGCTATATTAACTTAACTGTCTTTTAACCTTCCTGTTGTTTCATATTCTGTGTTTTCTGAATGCCTTGATCTACTTTAAAATGTTTGTTTCTTCATACATATTTTATATTTTGCTTCCTAGCTTATTAACATGGCCTTGGGTAAATGCCTTTCCATTGAAAATACCACAGCCATTCTGGAAGACTGTGACGGGAGCAGCAAGGTATGCTGGGCTGGGGTTTGCTCTCTGATAGTAGGTGCAGCTCACATACTGGTGCATAGCTGATAAGTGCAGGGTATAACACATTCATCACTCACTTGAGAAATTGGTTTTTGCTTACAGAAACAATAGTTAATTCCTATATAATCATAAGATTGCTAAATGTAAAGATGTGGGTACTGAAGTCAACACATGAGAAACGGAGATCTGGCTCCTTCACTTGCAAAGTGTGTGAATTTTGTATGTTTCTTAACCCTCAGGTAAATGGCAGTGATTATAGTGCCCACCTTAATGCTAGTGTGAGAATTGAATTAGATGAAACTATGAAGCAATTAGAACAACACCCAGTTCTTAATGCTCCACAAATGTTCACTGCTATAATAACAGACAAAAAAAAAAAAAAAAGTTGAAAATAGCACGTGACGTATAAAGATAGAGTAATAAAGAAAAAGACAGGATATATTTTTAAATAATTAATTTCAGGGAGCAATTTGATTCTCTGATTCTATACCCTGCCCCCATTCTTCTATATCTGAAGGAAATAATGTAAATCACATAATTCACGATCCATGATGGAAAACCCTGCAGCAACACTCCCACAGACTCAGAGCACAGTGGTGAGGGAGGGAGGAACTCTGCAGTGCTGGAGGGGAGCTGGAGGTGATGGCACCTCCCTCTCCAACACACGATCCCTATTCATTCTTATTCTTTGGGGACAGTTTCTGGACTCACGGGGACATCAATTCATGAGTACAACTCAGTTCCCTAAAATTGTAGGCCACTCTTAGGTAGAGAAATTATTTTTCATGATAACATAGGCTTGCCAAAACATACTACTTTGATTTGAGTAGGAGATATTGATTTGATTTTGAAGTACATCCCATCAATACCTCTTCATTCAAAGCTTCTACTAGAAAAAAAAGGGGGCATTTTGTCATCTCTGTGGCTATAATTCAGCTATGGATTGCAACCTGAGGCTAAGGGGACTTTTAATTAGGAAAAAAAGGAGACACTTGAAAGAAAAAAGTGTCAAAAATCAAGAAATAACTTATATGTATTAACAATTTTGAGAGGAAACAACTCACAAATAGTAAAACAAAACAATATTAGTCCAAATTAGATGAAAATAAAATATTAAATAGTGCAACCCTTCCAGTCTCATCAATATTTTATCTGAAAATCCAAGTTATGGTCTTAATAACCACTGAGTCTCTTGAGAGGAGACTGGGAAGGAAATATATGACTTGTGCAACCCCTGCCTTCCACAAATGTCCATCTCCCTTTTGTCTTGTTATTCCTTTTAGGCTTCTGCCTCCTGTGGCTTGTTTGAGTAATAAAAAGTAAAGAAACTTGGTGGAGATAAAGTTATGGAGTAATAAAAAGTAAAGAAACTTGGTGGAGATAAAGTAAAGAAACTTGGTGGAGATAAAGTTAGCCAGAAATAATAAGACAATATTAAGCCAGTGACTACAGCATTTATAACAATAATAATAATAATAATAACAACAACAACAATAATAAAGCTTAAAAGAATAAATCCCGAGGGTTGTAGGATTGTCCCATCAAGCACTATCTTTTCACCTTACTTAAAAAGTCTCTTTAGTTAACTTATCAATCAGTTGAGTTGTCCCTTTGCAAGGTACTATCTAGCTTTTCTTCATAGCTACATAGCTTCTTTGTATTGTGTCCATGCTTCTTGTCAACATAAGAAACATCCAAACCTATAGAAACATTTAATTAGTTTATTTGAGCCAAACTGATGGCATATACCAGGGAGTAAGATCCCAAATGCTCTAGAATAATAGTTTTGCAGGGTGTTTTGTTTTGTTTTGTTTTTGTGCATTTGAGATTAAGGAAGGTATGTAAGGAAGTACATGAAGGTGGGAAAAAACAAGGTGGGGCATGACCACCCACCATGACCTGCCTGTTGGGAATTTGTGATCAGACCCCCGGTAAGGTTACTTTCCATAGAACCACCATTTATCCACATTCTCAAATTTAAATATGCATACAAATCACTTGGGGAGTTTGCTAAATGTGAATTCTGATTCAATAGGTTCGTGGCAGAACTGATTCTCTGCATTTCCAACTAGATGTAGGTGACCCTAATGATGGTCTAGAGTGGCATATGCCAGGGAGTAAGACCCTTTAGCAGAGAGGTCTACCCCAATGCCATACTTGATCATCTAAGTGACATCTCAATCACATTACCAATAATTCATTAGATAAAAACTTTTAGATTTTACCAGTAGACTTATTTACTAATTCCTTTACAAATTTCCCACAGACTCAGAGCTTTACAGTTTATTAACCAGGCAGATAGTACTAGGTTGTAAATAACTGGAGAAAATATATAAAAATTAAAAACATGGTTCCATATCCTGAATTGGCATTTATTTTAGACCTTGGTGATTCCGCAAAACTGGACTTCTCTAAGAGCAGTCCTTCACACTATCAGCAAAGAAAAAAATTTTCAAAAATATATTTTATTGATTTTTTACAGAGATGAATGGAGAGGGATAGAGAGTTAGAAACATCGATGAGAGAGAAACATCTACCAGCTGCCTCCTGCACACCTGATGTGCCCACAACCAAGGTACATGCCCTTGACCGGAATCAAACCTGGGACCTTTCAGTCTGCAAGCCGGCGCTCTTTCCACTGAGCCAAACCGGTTAGGGCATAAAGAAAGATTTTTAACATTCCCTCTAGGGGTCTGGTTGTCTAGCATAATAATTTCCACAAAGTAGTTTAGGGCCCTGACTTGGATCTCCTGAAGTCCCACTTGCTCAAGACTATGGTGGTTTGGAGGTTCCAATACTTCAAGCACCAGGTGGTCTGGGATTTCGAACTGGAATGACATTTGTTTGCAGGTATGTACTAACTGGACTGTGGTGTACGGTTGCAACTAACCCTTTCTCAGGGCTTACGTAAGTGTGCTAAACACTTGACAGTCATTACCCAAGCCTGTGAGACAGTCACGTTGAAGTTGCTACCCAACTAAAAATGGAGAAAAATTAGATTAGGCAGGATTAATATTATGCCCCTACTATCAGTGTTGAAAGTGGCAATACCAGGATTCACATACAAACCATCTGACGAGAGTGCCTATATTCTTAACCTTTACTGGCAAAAAAAGGTTTGACGAAGCCCTTACTTGTGTTTTCCACCTGAGGTGACCTTTCTCTTACTCATTTCTTCCACAGCTTCAACAGTTTAATTACACCTGGTTAAGACTTATTAAACATGGAGAGCAGTGCTTGGCTCCCGTCCCTGAGCAGGGAGCCTTGAGACTGCTCCCTTGTGATAACAGAAACAAAGGGCTGAAATGGGTACACAAGTCAGCATCAGCCTTTCGGTCAGAACTGGTAAGCAAAATGTGTATATCTCTTCTCTCCGCAAATCCAACTTCCCGCTAAAGGTGACAGAACACCCTCCCTGGCAGCCAATCAATCTGAAGATTTCAATGTGTTTGTGACAATGTGTTTGTGAAAAAGTTCTCACAGAGAGTTGGGCATATTTTGTAACTTCTCAATTATTTTAAGTAGAAGTCACCAGGTTTTGTTGTTTGTATTGCTGTCATCGTCTGTTTCTAAAGTTGTTGTTTAGTCAGTTAACAATGCCAAAAGTTGGGCTATAGGCTAGAATTAGATTGCATCAGTTACCAGAAAGCTCACAAGGGGAGTGTAAGGGGAAAGTAAGAAGCAGTGTGTTCCCTCCCAGCCCTGCATTTTACTCTGCATTAGGTTCCCCATTCTGCCTCTTTCCAACTAGGAACGTTTGCTCATGCCCTCTGGTTTCCAGAGATAGGACTCCCCTGGGGTGCTGGAGCCAGCTCCCACCACCTTGCAGCAGCTGGTTGTGTTCAACTCTTGCCAACTGCACCTTCAGGGATCCTGCTTTGGTAAATTCAAACCAGCCACGATGTGTGTATTTATATCCATGCTACAAACCAGGGGGTGTTTTCCCAGAGGTCTGGTGGTTCATGTTTACCAGAACATCCCAGCGATACCCTAGTCCACATGTGTCAAACACAAGGCCCGCGGTCCAAACCCGTCCCGCCAGGCCTTGCAATGTGGCCCGCACCGCGCTGTCATCACTGCACTCCGCTGCGTTTCCATCACAATGACAGTTTATGACTGTTCAGTAAACCATTCGGCCCGCGATTTAGGCTGGATTTTAGTTTTTGGCCCCTTCTCTGATTGAGTTCGACACCCCTACTAGTCTCTCAAAGTCCTCTCAGCTTTTCCCAATTCTGTTTCAACAGGGTAAAAGTCATAATCATTGATGTAGGATCTTGGAGTGGTAGAAATAATGTCAGGACTATCTTCTCAAATTTCCCACTAGCTCACCAGGAGGTAGCCCTCAAATCCTCAAATCACCGAGTATATGGAGACCATCATTTTGGTCAGGAATAGTCCAAAGTAAGCCCACATTTTTACGTGGAGTGCCTCCATTCCTTTTGATGTCACAGCCAGGATAATTTTCTTCCTGCCCAGGGTCAAAACCAGGGCCTGAGCCACACATTCTCTAGCCTTCCCCCCTTTAAATTTTCTCTGTTACATTTCAGTTGCTTCGGGGCATTTTTTCCCCCTCTTTAGTAATAATGGTTATTATTGAATTTTTCTGAAATATTAGAAATTATCAGTGCATAAACTGATAATTTTATGTTTCATGGTATTGGGAAAATCCATAAATATGTATCAAATAAATTACATCTTACCTTCTGTTTCTCTAACCCTGTGCCAAAGAAAGGAGGAAGAGAAAGAAAGAGGGAGAGAGAAATAGAGACAGGGAGAGAGAGAGAAGAGAAAAAGAAAAAGAAAATACAGAATATGAGAAAAACAAAATCCTTACCCCACCTTATTTGTGACTTTAACACAATAAAGAGCTGCTTTCTGCCTTGAGTTCCCCTTTTCATGCTGCCAGATGTCATAGAAATGAATATCTTTAAAATGGTCTTTTTCTTTTTTAAAGTATTTTGGTAGTTTTCATACTTACCTTTCTAAACCCCCCAAGACGTGAAAGTCTTAGAAAGAAAAGGGAGAAATGGAAAATAAGACTATGAATGGCAGGAGCATGTCTCCCTTTTCAGGAAGCATTAGGAGTTGGAAGCTTCATGGAAGGAAGAGGGGTAATGGTAAGCTTGACCCTGGATACCAATGAATTATTAAAGTTATGTGTTCATAAATCAGCATTTAAAAGATGTTCTCTAGGTCAGCCTTCCCCAAATGCTCCGGAATGAGGTCACTTAAAGGTAAATATAGTTTCATAGGTGGCTTCTAGGACTTGGGGAATGGAATGGCCCTCTACCCCATGTGTCTTTCGTATGGGGACACGTTTTTGGGGTGTGTGTGTGTGTGTGTGTGTGTGTGTGTGTGTGTGTAGGTTGTTGTTGTTGTTGTTGTTGTTAATCCTCACCTGAAGATATTGTTTCCATTGCTTCTTCAGAGAGAGTGGAAGGGAGAGTGGGAGGGGAGAAGAGAGAGAGAGAAACATCAACTGGTTGCCTCCCACACAAGCCCTGACTAGATTTGGGAAGTACACCTGAAATGCATGTAGGTGCCCTTGACTGTAATCGAACTTGATATCCTTCAGTGTACATGCTGATGCTCTAACCACTGAGATACTGGCCAGGGCTGGAGACGAGTTTTTAGTTACCTCTTTACAATCCAGCAGAACATTGTAGGTAGTCAATAATAATGTTGCTCAAGTTTAACTTCTTTACAAAATCTTGAGCATACTTGAGCATCATATTGCCCAAGTTCTACAAGGGAGTTTGTTACAATGCAGATTCTGATTCCATAGGTCTATGGCAAGGCTGAAAGTCAGCATGTCCAACTGTCTCCTGGGTGATGCTGATGATGGTTTCAGCGGAGAGGTCTAACCCAATGACATACTTGATCATCTAAGTTAAATCTCAATTACATTATAAATGATTCAGTAGATAAAAGCATTTGGAATGATTTTACCAGAGGTCTATTTTTTCTAATATAGTTTTGTAGGAATATCTATAAATAAATTATTGTCACCCCTGTTTAATAATTTTTGAAAGTATTATAAAACTAATAATATCTTTATTATATATAAGTATATAATCATCTTTGTCATAGTCCTGGATAGTTGAAAAGTTCAATAGGTAAAAAAATAAAAATAAAAAAAATTACAAAGCCATGGGCAAGTTCTAAGTAGGCCATTCACCATTTCTAGGATATTAATATATATTAAGCAATAATATTATAGAACCCTGAAGTGCTTTTGACTTTTTTTCCTAATTACATCCAAATTTTCTGGATGTCAGGCATTGTGTACTCAGAGATTATGGTAGGGAGCTCATAAGTAGAATACATTATTTATCTAGCATTTTGTATTCTAAATTTGCAGTCTAAGGCTTAGACTTAATTAAGAAATTAACTGACTCACTACCTATGATGGTATGTGGGTGTTATTTTTGTGTGTGTGTGTGTGTGTGTGTGTGTGTGTATGTGTGTGTGTGTTTTCTTTTCTATCATCAGTAAAGGAGCCATCATCCATCAAATATAGAAATGCCATCTGGTACTATTTTCTTTAAATAATATAGTAATCAGCCATATAATTAGAAAATTCATCTTTGAAGTATGAGAATTTAGTGTAAGCAAGAGCAACAAACTTAATACTGCCCAAAGCCAGTGTTTATGCTATTAATTTAGTTCAGAATAACCCTAAAGAATAAAAAATGTAAGTGCCTATCTTTTTTTTTAATTGGTTTCCATTTCTTTACCGTGGCTCATTCTCAGATCCCCTTTCTCTCCAGGTGGATCACATTGTTTCTGGAAACTATCATGAGTTGTTATGCTTGGAAGGAATTTTTTCTCAGAAAACCCTGAAAGTTGCTGCTTGTGACCCAAAGAAGCCATATCAAAAGTGGAAATTCGAAAACAATTTTGAAGTCTGAAGAGGAACTGATGTTTTTATGTAGTGAGCCCATTATACACTGTGAAAATGACAGTGAACTTGGTGATTATATTTCTCCATGGTTTAAATTTTTTAAATGAAGAACACTTGAATAGAAGATTTTCTAAAATCACAATATTTGAGATACCAAAAGTTAACTCAGGGAAACAGTCCAACATTGGATTGGAGTCCTTCCTCAGTACTAGAAGTCCTTTTGAATGACCTGATTTCTTCTCTGTGCTAAAACTCAGCCTGTAAATTTCCCCATACAACCTATTGGGTACCCGGAAATAAAGACAGAGTACTTGGGGAAGTACGATGATATTCATTATGAATGTGTTGGGTAATAACCAGCTCTTTGGCCCACAAGTAGGGAGAACCTGGTCCTTTATTTACTATTTTTTTCATCAAAAAATTTACTTGAGTTTTTATGGATAGAAGTACTCATAAACACACAGCTATCACCTTGGCAAAAACCCTTCAGATTACATTCATGTTAAACTTATAGTTTGGAATAGTATTAATATTACTAGAGGCCCAAATTTCATGGGTAGAGTCCCTAGGCCTGGCCAGCCATCAGGGCTGATCTGTGCAACAACCAGTGGGGCGATCAGGGGCCCCACTGGCACCCGCCTTGGCTGGCCTGGGGCCTGTGGGCTGGGGCAGCTCCTGAGTTGAGCGTCTGCCCCTGGTAATCAATGCACATCATAGCAACCAGTCATTCCACTAGTCCTTCCACCATTTGGTCAACTTGCATATTAGGCTTTTATTATATAGGATTCTCCCTGGTGGCAGGATTTTGATCTAGCTTACTATATGATGCTTTTTTTATCAGTCTGAGTCAGTGGAACATTTTTAATTGAGGATGTCAAATGCTTGTTCATTTATAGATGTGGGCATTGTTTCAGTTCATTTTGTACTTTTAAAACTACACTTAAAAAATGGTTATGCTAGTAACTTCCTAGACTTGTGAATATTAAAAAATCAAAAAGGCAAAGTAAAAGAGGCTTGACCACAAAACACTATAATAACCCAAAATTCATTTAATCACTAAACACATATGAGGAGTTGAAACTAATAAAACAGAAATAGAGCCTTGAAAAATCTTAAGGTTCTTTTATATAAAATACTGCCTTAGATTTAATAATATTTATGGGGATAAAGTATGCTAAAATGGGCTTTAGAGATTTTAAAGTAGAAATAAAATGAAGGAAACAATGAAAGGGGAAGAAAATGAGGTAAGCAATCTTTAGGAAGAGAGGTAAGAAAAAATTGCCCTAGATTTGTCCAAAAAGAAAAGGAATCTTGCACCTAAATGGGGGTGTGGGGGGAAGAGAGATAATAAAGCCTCAGATGTGGATCTAAGGATAACACTGGGGAGAAGTAATATTTCTTTGACTTATATTGAGCCCTAATCTTAGGTATGTCAATATTTGGGCATTTCAGAGAAGATCTTAGAAATCCACATTCATTTTGGTAAGAAAATTGACACCCAAAAGACACATTACCCATCTGAAAATCTCAGAGGAGAGAATTAGGATTAAACTTGTATCTCCAGAGACAGGGCTCATTCTTTTGCCCCTGGCCACTGGCCTACACACAACCTGTTCCACGGCATTTTTATAAAAGATGAGAAATCATTTTGCTGGCAGTGGATCTCTGGAAGATAGCCATAACCATGCTATATGCTTATTAATACTTAAAAACAAAACAAACAAAAACTTTGTTCAGGTGAGGAGATAATAAACCTGGTATGTTTTTTAAGAGAGAAAGAGGAGGGGGAGAGAGAGAGAGAGGGAGAAAGAGAGAACATCAAACCTCCTTTTGGTGCATGGGACAATGGTCGAACCAACTGAGACACACAGGCCAGGGCTAACTCTGGTGTCTTTAGTTCTGACTTCCTATTTAAATTTTATTTTTAGCCTGGCCGGTGTGGTTCAGTGGTTGAGCATGAACCAAGAGGACCCTGGTCCAATTCCTGGTCATGTTTTGGGCTTGATCTGCAACAGCAGGCTTGCAGGAGGTAGCCAATTGATATGTTTCTCTCTCATCAATGTTTCTATCTTTCTATCCTTCTCACTTTTTCTCTCTCTAAAAAATTAATAAAAACATATTGAAATTTTACTTTTAATTCCAATTAATTCCACAAGAGCAGAGCAAGAATCAGAAGAGGAAGCAGTTTTGCATATTTGCATCATATTTGGGATGCTTTTTTCAAATAATTGACATTGCAGATGAGGTAAGAGAATGATTAGAAAATTAGCTAATTCTTTCAAAAAAGAGCTAAGTGGGGGAATAAAACAAGGTGGTTGCCAAATGTCTAATTAAATGGCTGACCAAACTGAATATGCTAGGAGCTTCGTGTGGTTCTTCATGTAACTGAAAAATGCTGAACAGTTATCTTCCCCCAATCTAAAGACTGTATTTTTATTCAAAAACAGATTCCATCAAAAATGTCAGCTCTGCTCAGAAAAAGAGTAATTATGGTTTTCATGCACTCCGCTTCGGGTATAACAGCAGAAGAAATGTGAATGTTTTTCTCAAAACACATTTGAGTCTCTTCAGTGTATGCTCTTCCTAACTTTACTTTGACATACTTATATGAAGCTATATTTGAATCTATATTGTCAATACAACAAAGGATTGTTTTCGTACATCACATATTTGCTCTTGGGTAGAATTTTAAAACCAGCATTTAACATGTATTTTTTTTTCAGTTCCTCTAAGATACAAGTAACGGATCACTAGTAAGGAATCTTCTAAGCCTGACCCTGCCAGTGCTAATTGTGAAATCTATTACCAACATTTTCTTAAGCATTACCCTATAAATTGTGGTTTCAGAAGGCTGTAATAAAGGTAAAAGTCCTACCAGGTCTTCTGATACTTCTAATGAAAAACCCTTGGAAGGGACACAATAAGACCCTTATTAGCCCTAAATTTTCCTATAGGGGCTGTGTTATTGGGGATTTCAGTTTTTCCTTGTTTGACTTGAGCTATTGCCCTTCTTAGAAAAATGTCTATTACCTTAAAAACAAGTGTAACTTTTATAATATTTTGCAGGACTTATTTGGCCAAAAACTAACTTACCAAACCATCTGAGTGCTTCTGAGCTTTTCAGTTTGCACAATTTCTTTTTCTATTTCAACAGCTACCCAAAGCTTCTACCCTACTCCCCCAAAGGATGGCACAGCTGTTGTTGGTACGATGATGTTTTATCACCAGCATCAAATTTCTTCAATCTGCTTGCTGACATTCAATTAGCTGTCACTCACTGGGCCAAAAACCATCATGTATCATGATCACAATGCATTATTGGCTTTTCCACGCTAATTTGGAAATATTCTCTTAGCTTTTAATACACCTTGCTTCTATTATAGTATGCCCTTATGAATTGTAAAGGGGCAAAAATATAGTTAGTGTAGGAATTCCATTTTCCCGGGCTCATGAATAGCTTACAGTGATCTTAAGAAGGCTCTCGTGGCAGATAATGGGGTTGAGATGCATCAGGGAGTACCATCTTTATTTGTTTTAACACCTTTAATTTAACTTCCACATGTAAACACAAGAAATAAATTATGCCTCAGATGAAGGCCTCAATACTTTGGATAAAAACAAGGAAATGACAAGGAGTAAATAGGAAAAAAATGGAAACAAATTATCTTTGACTACCTACTATGTGCTAGGCACCGCTCACTGTTATTCACAACTCAGAGAGGTAGGTCTCATTCTCCTTACTATGCTGCAACAGGATGGCTGAGAGGGATTGTCTAATGTCATTCCACTGTAAGAGCTAAAAACCCAATTTTTATGCTATGTGGCTCGAAGAAGAAGAAGAAGAAGAAGGAGAAGGAGAAGGAGAAGGAGAAGGAGAAGGAGAAGGAGAAGGAGAAGGAGAAGGAGAAGGAGAAGGAGAAGGAGAAGGAGAAGGAGAAGGAGAAGGAGAAGGAGAAGAAGAAGAAGAAGAAGAAGAAGAAGAAGAAGAAGAAGAAGAAGAAGAAGAAGAAGAAGAAGAAGAAGAAGAAGAAGAAGAAGGGGGAGAAGGAGAAGAGTCTTTCATTATGCCATGTTACTATGACTTTTTTTTTTTTTTTAAGTAGGCAGTCAGCTCAGTAGAGCTCAGTTAAAATCCTTTGCTTGTGGTATCAAACCTCTTTGTTATCACTTTTGGATGCTCTATAGACAGGAAATAGAAGTTGCACCCCTTTTGTTAAAAAACAACTGAAGTGTAGCTTAAGGATAGCCATCCAGATGCTTTGCTGTGGTTTATCTCCTTGACTTCGTGTTGGACACATTCTTTTCCATTTTTTGGAATAAATATGAGAGGGAGAAGTGGCTATAGAGAGATTGCTTCTCTTTGAATATTACCAATTCTTTATTCCCCTAAGCATTAATCAAAGCTGACAGATTTGAACAAAGGTGGAAAGTGAAAAATTGAGGAGTCCCTAACTGAGACTTGTAATTTTTACTTCTATGTATTGCCACCATAGTGTTTTTGCAACAACTTTTGCATAGGTTATTCAACAATTCCTACAAGCCAAAATGTCTTGCAACAAGAAAAGGAACACTAACCGAAGCTAATGTAGAAAATATTTATTTTTGGCAAATAGCCATCTCATGGGCAGGTTTGAATAAACCATGTTACATATTATATTGGTATACTCCTGATGAGATTTATTGGATAGTATTTCAAGTGTTGGTGGTGCCTGTTTCTAAAACAAAATGGGGGGAAGAATACCACTACACTAAGCAGAGTTACTGCCTCTGTTTTCAACCTAATGAATCAACTAATATGATAGATACCACTCCAAATAGGGTCTCTTTGCAAGTGTAAGTGAATCTTTGTTTTGAAAAAACACACATAAAATTATCATTTTCCAGCAAATAGAGCAACTGCTAATATGCTGAGTCCCTAATAATGACAGTTGCCATCAAATAAGTAGCAAATAATTTCTTTAAAAATAGAAGCTTTCTATTTTGTTATTGATTGATAAATATTGGCCAGTTTTAGAATATTTGTCATAATATATATATAAAGCCTTAATATTAGATATTGAAATTAAAATTTTTGATAGCAGATCTTCACTTGACTATTGAAAAACATATTGATCTTTGTAAATATATGCACATGTTTGTATATATGAATATATACAAATATATATATATATACACACAAATATTTTTATTTTTATGCATATATGTATATATGAGTTTCTATATTTTATGCTTTAAATTAGGAGAGAGTAAAACCAGGAATTTCTACTTAAAAATAAAGAAAATAAAAAATATGTTTTGATATTTTTAACTCTTTTTTTAAGTGCATAGCTCTGTCTGCATCTGGCTTTCTGGACAAAAGTGCAGGTGGACTTTCACTCTGGGTATTGTTTTCCATACTTAAAAGGAGTAACCAAACCCTAAATTTTCTAAATGTTTGTTATTCAGGTTAGGGTTATACACACACCTTAATCCCTCTTCTTCAAAACAACTGCTGAAGTGTTGCTGGTTTTATACACATTAGCTATAAGAGGTGGAGATAAAAATGAGAAGTGTCAAAGGTCAAATTAGTGAATTTTGTTTTTTATTATCCGAAAACATTTGTCAATGGGAAGAACTGGATTAAAACTAGAGTAGACAGGAATTTTGAGTTACTTTGAACATTTTTAAGTATCCAGTGTTTCTGCCTCTGACCAACTGAAGTTATTATAAAGAAGGAAGCAAACATATAATGTTTGATTTTGAAGTTTCTAAGTAAAAATCTAAATCACTTTCCAAATTCATTTTCAAAAATTTCCTTAGCTGGCAATTAATTAGTAGACATTATCATTTGATTACATAGTTTGCCATGTACCTGACTGATTCTTACTGCTGATTTCTACCCATGTCATTGTGTTTCTGTTGATTGTATGGTCTAGTTACCTCGTGTTGTTTATGAGCTATATACACATTTTGGAATTCATATGTATTATGTTTATGGTGACCTGGTGCACCGATCTGTGTGTGTTTAAAGAAAATTAATTAGAAGGTGGCCGGTGGGGCTGGGCTGGGGGAGATGGGCCAGACATGCCCTGAGGCAACCTCCCACAGTTCCTCCCTGCCATCTGCGGAGTGAGCGGGGTCCCTCTGCCAGGTGGGGTCCCTCAACCTGGCTTGCTGGGATTTGGCTGAAACCAACTCTCTGACATCCCCCGAGAGGTCCCAGAGTTCAAGGGGCCACTCTGCAAAGTTCCTGTTGTGCAGGGTGTGGAACGCAAGTGCAAGTGTGCAGTAAACCAGCTTCGGGTCCGACCACTCCCCAGCCACCACATAACCCATGGCGAAAGGTGGAATCCTGTGGTCCCATCAATCTGCCTCCTCTCTGATTTCAGGGTGCATCACCCAGAATCACTGCTGCTAAGTCACTGAAGCTTGGCAGCTCGTGCATTGAGCCTCTTCCCACTGGTGGTCAGTGCACAGCATAGCAACTGGTCAGACACAGCATAATAGCCTTTTATCTATATAGATTGTCTGATATTGTAATGTTGGCAAATGTATGCTATAACTTTTTACTTTACCTTTTATAGCCCTTTTTGTTTTTGTAGAACAATGAAAGTTCAAGCCTTAAAAAATGAAGTTGCCTTCCTCTTATGGTCAAACATATTTCTTCTTTATGATACTCGAGTGCTTCATCTTTTCCCATAACTCTCTATTATTAGTTATTTTAAATATTTTTCATATCACTTTGAAATACTTAAATATCCATTCGCCATTTGTAAGTGTACAAAGAGTACTACCTCGTGTAAATTTCAGAAACAATTACTATAAAAGTGTTGGCATAGTTTACATATATTACCTTCATGACTACAAATATTTTTTTCAAGTTTTGAAGTTAAGATGCATCTAAAACAATAGCTCAGTTTCTGTAAAAATAATAGAAATTTTCATGAACATTACATAATAGCCATTAGAAATTTTTTTCAATTTCATATATGATCATTTGAAGACCTATAGAAATAAGTAATGCAAATGAATTGATTTCTGAAGCAACATTTATTGATCTTAATAGTTGCTGATATGCAAGGTTTCCTTCTCAATTTCAAAGGTCAGCTAAAGAAAATAAAATCTAGACACCAAAAACAAGGATCCAAATTTTTATTGAGAACAAGTCAGACACAAAAGTTCTTTAATTACTTTGTTACTGGATGGATAGACTGTGACATATTCTGTGTCTTCAAAATTAGCCTTATATTAAAGATACATTTTAAATTGACAGAGAAATAGAGCTGTTATTAATTCCTGTTTGTCCAGCTACTGAAGAAAATTAAAATTCATGTAAGAAATATCAGCATTCTTACAATAAACCAACTCTCTCTACTCCCAAATAACAGAGTCCTTCTTCCAACCGGGAACCTTGAATCACAAAAGTGGTCCTATATAGTTACCAATTTGTATTCTAATATGATAATATCCCTCATGCAATCTGAACCAGACCCTTATCTTTCCTAAGTTACAAAGAATGAAATAGCTACTCATCACTGTCATGTTATTTATGGCCACCTAACTCTGTGGCCTTAGTGTAAAATGGCAGCAGCACAGGACATAGTTTCATCCCTGGCCAGGGTAATTCAGTTGGTTGAGCATCATCCCATGCACAAACAGGTTGCTGGTTTGATTCAAGACAGGGCACATGCCCAGGTTGTGCTCAATCCCCAGTGGGGGATGTGCAGCAGGCAGCCAATAGACGTCATGCTCTCACATTGATGTTTTTCTTTCTCTCTTACTCTCCCTCCCCCTGACCCCAAAACACATTTTAAAACAAGAATAGTTTCAGTGCTCTTTTGCAACTACATTGCCTCATCCATGAGCATTAAGTATATACTCATTAAATATGCCCTAACCTAGTCTGTTGACAAAATCTTTCATGCTTCATTAACTGTCTGATAAAAGCACAAAGCTAAAAAAGCCAGGGTCAGTGTGTGTGTGTGTGTGTGTGTGTGTGTGTGTGTGTGTGTTGGAGCTGCAAAAGAGCTAGTTGCTTTGCTATATCATAAGACCATAGACCACATCATCATCTCTCTTGGAATAATTTAAAATATAGCCTCTGTTCATGGTAGATTAACAATATGATCCTGATGTGTGATCGCTAATGCAACACTGAGCTTTGAAGTTAAATAGAAAATTGTAGGGGTCATCAGTAATCCAGAAAAGAAAAGAGGTTGTCCTCATGGACAGGTTTAGAGGACCTAAATAAACAAGAAATTATTCTAGTGCATTAATTTTCCTAGCTTTATTCTGAAAATTTGCCTTGTCAAGAATGAGAACTACAGGTTCTACTGATGAAGGATGGCAAAACATTTATACATTCAGGATGCAAAGTATCTATTTGAAAGAATAATAGGAACACTGCAATCTTATTTCAAAATTGAGCCTTGTAAACACTAACTACAAGTACATGATACTTTAGAAATATATTACATGACCAGGAAGAATTAAAGAAATTGCCATTAGAATGTGTGGGATTTGTTACACATAAATAAGCAATAATCTAAGAAGGGAGTAACCATGGTTTTTTACAAGATGAAAAAGAAATAAACAAAGGGTTGAATAGTACAATGAAGACTGTATTACATTCAGACAATAAGGAATTGTCTTTTTATTTGCAGGGCCAAAAAGAATTTTTATGGCGACATAAAATACCAGATAATATATATGGAAGCATGAAATAAAAAATTATGAAACTATCTAAGAAATCTATATAAATGTAGACTCTCCTTTTTCATAAATATTCAATACATTATTTGACACATTGGTTTAATGAAACTCCATTTAAGCATCTTGATTTGGGCTGAAGTCCAGCGAATCATATATTCCCAACAACTATAGAGCTTTCTCACTAAAAATGCATGCTCACACTCTACTTTGAGAATATTCTAAGATAATAATTTTCATTTTCATAGTAACTAGTACAGTTATGACTAGAAATGTCTCAGGTTTCTAAGGAAAGAAAATTATTCTGAGATATAATTAATAAGGAAAAGTGTGATAATAAGAGGGGGTATTTTCTTTAAGAAGTGCTAAGGCCCTCATTTTCATTTTTAATGGCTTACACTTTGCTAGAGAAGATTTTATTTTGTCACAGAAGTAAAGCTAACCAATATAGTTCTTTAGTCTGTTGCCCACCATTTGTGTATCCCTTCCCTGTACCAACCTCACAATGGATTTACTTCATCTTGAGAGGATAAAGGCAACATTCAGTAAATAGAATTCTCCGGACTCACAATTGCGCAGCTCCTCTAGTGAGAAAATTCAGTGAATGGTTAATACTGAGGCAGAAGCCTGTACCAAATTTTCACTCTGCAGATGCCAAGAAAACCACTTAAAAATCTCTTTGGAAGGTAATAAGAAAGGTGAAGTCTTTTGAAAAGTTTACTGGCCGAGTCTATAAAATAGTGCTTAAAAGTTAAGAAAGGGTTAACAACAGACTTTCTATCAGTCTCAAGGTACAGGGTCTCAAGGTACAGGAAGAAAGACCCCCAAAGAAATACAGGAATCATTTCAGATCGGTCTCTTCACTGAATGGCTGTATTTCCCAGCGCTGCTCCTTTTAAAGCCAAACCATGCCAGATTCCCCAGGGGTTCTAGCTGTTCTGGACTTATCACATGTGCTATGTTAGTGAAGTTTTAAAAAGCAAATGTCCTTCAATAAACGTAAAGGTTTTTGATATGAAGTTACCAGACTGAGTTGTGTCTAAGGTTATTTCCACATTATTCTACAGTGAAACAGAAAGGAAGCTTCCACATCTTTAAAGAGGATAACTGACATAAGGCATGCGAAGATGCATCTTAGGAAAACAGAATTAGCTTTTGCTTTAGTTGGGTTGAGAACTTCTCAGATCCAGTTAGTTTATAAATTCATCATAGACTCAAATTCATCAATTCTTTGCTTGGTATTCCCCTTCCTGATCTTCCGATAGGATATTGTGTTGTATCGTGAATAAGCATTTCTGGAAATATCACTCTTCTTCCCAAATGGTGGCTGCTCATCAGGGGTCACAGGCTGGGAGCTGGGGCTGCTCAATGGGGAGTCCTCACTTGGCTCACCTTCCTCTTTGAAGTGAGAACCTTCTATGTTTTTTTTCTTAAATTCTATCACTCGAACTTCATCTTCATCCTCATCTTCATTGTTAGTTTCTTCATCCCAAACCTCTTGCTCCTTGTCATGCAACACATCAACTTGGCCAGCCTTTCGAAATCCCAGCCATTCGATTTCAGTTGCCTGGTAAGCTTTGCTCTTCCTATCCCCAACTTCTCGTTTTTCTAGATGTTGTTCAGCAATTCTTTCCTTTTGTCTACTTATTTCCTGGTTACTGCTGCTCAGAGGAATCTTCTTCCACTGATGCCCTGTAGCAAAATCAATGGATAGCTGAGATGGGCAGAGTTTCCAAAAACTCAGATGTTATTCTCCAAATGTTTTTTTTCTGGACAATCATTTCCCCACATTTGTTTCATGAAATACTATTTTGTGAGTTAGTAATCTATTTTATACAATAAAATGGGTTAGTCCATCAAATTCATTTGGAAAACATTGCAATAAACACTATTAAGCGAGCTTCCTCATAATTCATCCAAGCCATTTAAATGCTAAAGAATACTGTAAATCTCCAAGAAAGTTAGCAACTCAGCCTCTTTTGACTAGGGATTTGTTGTTGTTGTGTGGACTGTTGTATTGAGTGAGACTGGTATTCCCTGAGACACACTTCTAAAAACATGTCTAGCTTGTCATGACTGGATATGAACATGTAAAATAAATACTTGGACCTATATCTTACACACACACACACTCCTCAGGGAAAATTAGAAAAAAAAAAATCTCACAGGGAAATGTAGATGGCTTTCTTCCAATAGTAAAAACAATGACGGCCCCTGTCTGTCATGCTCAGAGTAGCACATTCAGTATTTGCCACCACACTTCTCAGAGTTGTCCTAAGGTACCAGGTACAGAAGCAGGAGCAGAGGACCACAGATGCTCAGAAATCGTGAACTGAGGTAAACCAAACCCACAAAGCACACACACTTTAGTCTGATATCTGCTATGAATTTCCAAAAAACCAAGATTTAAAAGTAATGTTGAATCATATTTACATAATGCTAGATTAGCCTATTCCTTTAGAGATGTCCTTAGTGACAACTAATTAATTCAAGCTATTTGCTATCATGTCCTGATTTTTAAAAGGCTTAATTCATTGCAAACTTCACTTTACAAATGGATCGTATTAGGATATTCTCAACAATAAGTATTGAAAATGCAAAAAGAATTAATTTTAAGAGAGTAGAGGTAGCTCTGTGACCTTTCACCCCAGAGGACTTGTGTAGGAAGCATCTGTCTGAAGTGTGCATGATTCAGAAATATTGACTGTGCTGAGTCCTTGGCAGGCCTGGGTTTGCTATTTCCTTTCAACACTTTAAGAGGCTTGACTAAAGTGAGAGACAAGGTTTCTTTTTGCCCTTCCTCACCACAATTTTCTATTTTCACTGAAAGAAATAAGTTCTCAAGTTCTTTCCATCAAATACTTTTCATTCTCTTTTTATTCTATTGTTTTCCCAACTATAGGAGTCAAATGGTAAACTTACAAAAAGAGATAGAATTGAAGATGGATTTTTCACTTCTACCTCATTGTGCACTCGTATCCAGCCCATGTTCTTTATAAATAAATGTGCATGAGAATGTTGAACTTTGTTTTGTTTTATTTTTTCCATAAGAACCAAATAAAATGATCTGTTTGCTCATATTCATGACTTGGGCATTGAGTTGTCATGCATGAAATTACTTCTTGAATTTGAATTATAGTTTTTCTTCAACATTTTTAGCATCTTTCTATTTTTTTTAACGCAGGAATATTCTCTTTGGAGACTTTATAGCTGCTTGTCATTGTGAACATAACAGGCAACAAAACAACAAAAAATACACCTCTAGCTTACAGGAAAAACACATGTTCCACCAGAAACAAAAGGATTCATTCAGAAAAAAATTTACCCTTAGACTCACTACTCTGAAAATCCAGACTGCTTTTGTTCTCTATATGTTAAAAATGAAAAATCCTAGAAAACTGTTGTCCCCACTAGAATTTCTGATTAGAAATTTGAAAGGGGGTCTAGATGAAAATTAAGATGCCTGCCTTCAAAGCTACATTGGAAGCACAAAGATCAGGACAAAGAGTTTTAGCTCATTTCACAGGGGCTGAAGTGACTAATTATCAGTGATAAGGCCAGAGCTTAACAATGCCTGTTGTTGACTACATTCTGCCTTAAGTGTCTGCACAGCGGACCACTGCATGCGGTCAGTGGGCAGTCTGAGATGTGTCCAGGAGAAGTGGACAAACCTAGGAAACTGCTAATCACATCCATGTCTTCCCTGGCATCTATTATTTTATTAGTATATGATATTTAAATTCAGCCAATAATCTCAGAAATATTTTTCCTGTTAAGGTCCTAACTAAATTGCTTATGTCTAGCAACCTGAATTCAGTTTTGAGATAAGAGGCTTATGGCTGCAAGAGAGGACACACATCATTCACTAATGGGTTTTTATCCTTCTCTGTATTTGGAAATTGCTTGAATATAGGTGTCTCCTTAGGAGAGAAGTCTAAAAGATTGTGTGTCTCTTAGTCTCTTGAGTTTATTTGAAATGTAATATAGTCACTTAAAAATCAATGTTTGTTTTTTATTTTCATAATGTTTTTATTCTGAAAAACACAATTAAAATTACTACCTGGGAGATTTCCTTGACAAAAATTTAGATAACCGTTTTGTGTTTACCTCAGAGACTTGAATTTTCCTTTATACGAAATAAATTTATAAAATTATTTTAAACTGTATGTCAGTGATACACTTTTAAGATAAACCCTTTTGAAAACATTTATATTTTATAAGTTGACTCACACAGATTTTGAAATATTAATAAAATTTTAAAAAACATTGATTTAGTGGACTAACTGATTAAGAGACAGACGTATTGTCAGGTCAAAATGTGCCAATCAGTTACACCAATCCATGTAGTCTGTCTTGAAGCTTCTAGAATACTTTCTAAGGTGGAACCCACAGATAACCAAGACTCTCTTATCTGCCTACAGCAGCTTTGAGCTTTGGAAGGCATTGCCTGGGTTGCTTTTTCAGCACCACACTCACTCAGCATCCCATGCCAAAACTGTCATCCATACCCGGTCAGACAAATTGTGTACAAAATGGAGCAGTGCCTCTTACCTTCTCTGAATGCCATTTCATCAACACTGGTTTCTTGGAGAGAAAGATCTGTGATGGCCTTATGAACAATGAACAGATGCTCTTCTGGTTTCTCTAGGGGTGGGGAGGAGGAAGGCACACTAGATTAATATTTTAATGCTTAAGTAATTCAAGGTTAAATAACAATTGATTTTTTATTGTGATCACTAAAAACAACTATTTCACTCTTCCTCCTCATTTCTTCATTGGTTCCCTTTATTTATAAACATAATGCTAATCTTCCTTTAATATCTAAGGTATATAACCATGATTCAAACACTTTATGATGTATTTAGAAGAAAATCTGGAAATTCTGAATTCTTTTTGCTCAAATAATAATGGGACTGTCCATAAGAATAATAACAGTAGCTAACATTTAACCAAATAGTGAGTAATCCTCACAACAACCCAACAAATGTTGGCACCATTATTCTGTCTTCTAAATACTAAGTCTTCAGGAGGCCAGGAAAGTTGTCCAGGATCACATAGCTATCAACTAAATAAGTCTGGATTTGACCAGTGGCACAAGTTTAGTCCTAATATTGTGCAGCCCCAGTAGCAAAAGGGGCCACATTTGGACAGGGACAGGGGTGGGAGGGTGTACATCTCATTCCTGTCATGACAATTTATCAAAACAATCCTGGATGAGTTTACAAATCAAATCAAGCAAATTGAAAAAGAAGGAAAATGTTTTACCTTTCAGAGTCTTCTCATCTTTGGGCCAATGGAGCAGCATCTTCCCTTGCAATTTTTCACTTTTCTCCTGATTCTCTTCTGTGGGCAAATCTTCAAGACTCGGTTCCACCCTGTAGTAAGGTGGGGTACCATCCACATCACTGACTTTGTCATTGGTTTTAGGGATCGGTGGGTTACCGTTTTCAGGTGGTGTATCCCCATTACACTCAACCTGGCTGAATGTCATTGGAACATCTGTCATGATGTACAGTTGAGTCTGATTTAGAGAGAGCTTTGGGAAACTGAGTAAATGGATTCTTGATAAGTCTTCTTGCCTTCAAGTCCTATAGTTCCAACTCCGACTTTATTAAAAATAAAACATAACAACAAGCTTCTTTTTCTAAAGGTGCCCAGAGAGCACTTAGAATAAAAGCAATAGGATTTGTCCGATTTGCCACCAGCCCATGAGCAAGATTTGGGCCAATCGCCACTTTCTTTGCTGCTTAGCAGTCCCACTAACAAAATTAATGGTTGCTTTTGATTTACATAAACAAACAATTGGAGGCAATCAGGCTTTTGTGTTGGCTTGCAGAGGGGGACTTTCAGCTTGTCAGCCCCCCTCTGGGAACAGAGATTGTTGTCCCTTTTCATAATGGCCTTTTGTTATTTTCCTTGTAACAGGAGCCACAATTGTCCCACAGCTTTAATCCAGAGAGAATGACCACCTTGAGTCAAATTAGTTCTGTGAAACCAGCTTAACATTTCCAAGCAGATTTTGTTCGAGAAAAGCCTGAGCTATTTTGTAGGGGACAATGGCATCGCTTCTTATTTATTTAAGAATAAAAACAGCTTATAAAAAACCTGTGAACAGGACAGCTTCATTAGAAGCAGCTCTCGCAGCAGATTCCATGCTTTGCTTTCAGGAGCCCAGAGAAGGGACCTAAGAGAAAAACACAAGCAAAAAAAATTCTGCCATCTTGCTAATAGCAGAAATGTTACAATTTTAGAGTAATGCATTTGGTCTATAGCTTCTTATTCTCTAGTTTATTTACATCACATGTGTCAAACACAAGGCCCGCGGGCCAAATCCTTCCCGCCAGGCCTTGTAATGTGGCCCGCACTGCGCTGTCATCACTGCACTCCGCTGGGTTTCCATCACAATGACAGTTTATGACTGTTCAGTAAACCAATTTGTCCCGCGATTTAGGCTGGATTTTAGATTTTCACCCCTTCTCTGATTGAGTTTGACACCCCTAATTTACATCTATTGAAGTCCAACCCACCCTTTAAACCCTTCAGATAACTTCCTCCATGAAGTTTTGTCTCCTCCAATCAGAAATTGTCTCTATATTTCCTACTGATACAGCCTGATGCTGGTGTTGACATAAAAACATTCAAACCAGCAAAGAATTTTTGTGAATTTATTTGAACCAAACTCTTGACAATTACCGGGAAGCAGAATCTCAACGGATAAGGATAATGCTCCAGAGAATGACAGTTTTACATCTATTTTTATATCTTACAATCAAAAGAGAAGACTTAAGTGGGTTATGTAAGATTCATTGGTGATAGATTAGGGAGGCAGGAGAAAGCAAAGGAGAGGGGACTCTGGGATTGGATAAAAATCCTTATTTTACATAGGTGGGTGCTGGATAGTAACAGTCAACAATTAACATGATAACAATAACAATGAAGGGATTTGTGGTCATATGTCCTGGCACCCAGGGCATTAGGTTGTTCCATGTGTAGTCCTGAAAAAAAGGGAAGTTACAAGTTACCCTGACATTGCAAGGATGTCATCATAGATGCAAAAAGACAATAAACTCAGTCAAGGTAAAGATTGACCTTGTCAGGGAAGATACCAGCCTAGGAGGTGACTACCCACCATAACTGCTTTAGTTAAAGTTTAATTTCAGACCATCCTGTAAGGTTTGAGGCTCAGGAAACTGGCCACCAAGGAGTTTTAAAGTAAAGTTTATTCCCCAGTAATGAGCGGACTCATTACGGAGGTAGAGAAATCAGAATTGAAGGAGTTAGGAGGGAGGATGGACCCAGCCGGGCTGCCTCCTGGACATGGAGGATCAGCAACACGTGGCTGGTCTGGGGGTTTTTAAGGGGAGAAACAGGAGAAGCTTGGACCCAGGGCAGTACAGGAAGGGGTGGGCTCCAGGACACTTTGGCAGGCGCTGATTGATGGCTCAATGTCTTGGAGATGTCTCTGTGACAGATGCCAGTAATGTCATAACTCCACCAGTTGGGAGGAGGGAGAACCTTATACATCCTTTGTGGTTACTTTAGGTCTCTGAGTTTGTAAGACTGCCATGCAGGCCTTCCTTGAGCTTGTCAAGTTAGCAATGTGGTCCCTGTCATCCACACTGGTAAAATGATATAGCACCAACATAGCCTGCCCTCAGGGGAAACAGGTGATTATGTAAAACATCTGCTACGACCACACCTTCCTTTTCAAAGACGACATCAATTATTTTTCTTTTTTGGATCTCATCTAGTGCAAAAAGATCCCAGAGTCTTTGTCCATGATGCCTCCACCCCCAGCCTTGGAATGCCTTCCCTTCCCCAAGGCCAAACAAACCCCTGACCTAACCAGGTCCTCAAATATCTTTTCTTTCGTGATACTTTCCCTGACACACAGGATTAAAACAGGATTCCTGCTACACTTTATCCTTGTCCTTCAGAGTACCCTGAACATTAAACTAGTAATTGCACAATTATCTGTAACATCTCTTTCACCAAAGAGAATCTAAGCTTTATCTGAGCAGGAACCATTTTAATTTCCTCACAGGTGTCCTCACCGTGTAGTATCTGCCTTGGACTAGGAAGATACTCAATAAAATAATATATTTTTAATATTATACATGAATGAATTTTACTCCCACGATAATACAGTTCAGATCTTTTCTAAAGAGGAGAAGAGCCCTGGCTGGGTTGGCTCAGTCGATAGATCTTCAGCTTGAGACTGAAGGGTCCTGTGTTTGATCTCAGTCAGGGGCAGGTGTCCAGGTTGGGGGCTCAATCCCCAGTAGGGAGCATTGGGGAGGCAGCAGATTGATGACTCTCTGTCATCACTGATGTTTCTATCTCTTTCTCTCCTGTTCCCTTCCTCTTTGAAATTACTAAAAATACATTTAAAAAAAAAAAAGAGAGAGAGAGAAGAGAGGTTGAATAGTAATTATAAGTATACCACCTTTAAAATTGTATCTGAGGCTAGATCCACTAAGATCTATGTCAGGAATGACAAATAACATGGCACTGGGCTCATCCTCTCCCAATGAAAGGAATTTTTAGGGGTGAAATAGGCAGGTTTAGGAAAGGTTAGGAATTAAGAGGTTTATGGAAAAAGAAGAGGGCTACAGAGCTGCAAAGGGTACATTTTCATAAGATAAGGGAGCTGGGAGTAGCAAAAGGAACACATTTACAGAATAAAGGGAAGAAAGCCCCTCGTTCAAAGAGGGGGGAAGAAAAGCCAGGAGGGAATAGGAGAACAGTAAGGGAGAAGAAGGAGGGAACCTCACTTACCTGAAGCTTGAGGTCAGGAGCTGCTATAGTGACCGAATCAAAGGGGAATAGTGACCAACCAGAGGGGAAACTGCAGCCTTTATAAATCATGGGAAGGGGGACTCGGTGGGACTTTTTCCCCCTCCCCACATGAGAGTCTATGTTTGTTTCTCAATAATTTCCATCTTTTGCTATACCGTCTTTCATATGTGGTTTCATTCTTCGACTGCACCGGACAAAGAACCTAGGAACCAGCCTACCCAAGGGAATACCGTGTTCCAGTCCCATTTTCCAGTATCACCAAGTACATGGAAGACATCTCTACAGATCCTAGAATTCTCTCCCTGTCTTCACTCGCTCTTCTCTACCCAATACACTAATTAATTGTTTGTGTAGGAGAGGAAAATACTTTTCACTCTTCTGAGTTATTGGCTGAGGCCTTGCAGTAAAAACAGATCAGAGTAAAGGGAACAGATGTTTATTAACAAGTGTACCTCAGGTATACGTAGGGGATACCCAAGGAAACTGAGTAATTCCCTGAGATGGCCCAAGTTACTTAAATATAACTTTAAATTAAAGGCAAAGGAAAGAAAGGGGGTGGGGATAGAGGCCTTATGAGGGATTACCAGTCAATGAGGGTGAGGTTTGTCCTGCAATAGTTATGCCTTCTCCATTGATGAGATTCCCTTCTGGTTTCGAGTCATTCTTCTTTCTCTAGTACAAAGGGGGAGACACACAAAGATTTTCTTTATGAATGTCCACCCCCCACCCAAAAAAGGGGGGGAATGTTCCTATATCCTCTGCTTTATTTTCAGAGATCCTCCAATGCCTGCTGTTTCTGAAAATAATTGGCTCACAGTAATTCTTAGGCCAAAAAGACATATTTTGGGGTGGCATAGTTGGTTATCCTTCATTTGTTTGATCTTATTTTGTTTGATTAACACTTATATAGCACTTACTATATGCCAGGCACTACTCAAATTGCTTCACAAATAGTACACAGTTGATCTGCATAAAAGCCCTGTATAGTTGATACTGTTATTATCCCCTTTCAACAGACTAGAAAAGTGAAGCCCAGAGAGATTGAGGAACTTATTCAAGGTCACACAGCCAGCAAGCCTACCAATAAGAGTTTGCAGCGTAGATCAAGCTGATTGCCAGCCCATGCCTGGGTGCTACTGTCTCTTTCAGCCCTAAGTTCCACTGGGCTCCAGCTTGATGAATGAGCAACCTTGCAGCAAGATGTACAAGAAGTAGTTGTAGTCGTTGTAGCCAGGAAAGGGCAGCTGACTGCCTGAGGTGGACTAGCCCTCCCTAAGGTGGACACTCCAGCTGCTGAGGACAGTGTTGGCAGGCCAGAGTGTTTCTGTCACCAGGAATAGCAGATTCAAAGATCAGAATCTAGAGTTTGAGGGCTAGGTCAGTATACCCCACTAATTTGGAGTGAAAACAGCCCAGGATCTAAGGCAAAAAAGAAATATTGCATGAAATTTGATGGAAAAAGACAAAAACCAACACCAAGCTAGAAACACATGGGGACATACTAGCTTGTGAGATCCTTAAGAGCAGAAAGTGACACTATTCTATGGAATGCCTTCAATAAACATACAAACACAGAAATGCTCACATGATCCTTGAAATATCTTCAATCACTCTCCATTCCCTTGAGACTGCCAAGCTCCTTAATCCAGGGATGCAGCAGAGAGCAGAAAGTTGAGTTTATCTTTTCTACTCCTAGATTTCTATGACCTTATAGCAACCTGCAATTCATACCCTTGGCTTAGTTTTTATGGAAGTTTAATTTTTTTGAATATTTTCTTTTTCATGCCATGCTTTGACATTTTTTTTCCTGGCATTAGATTTCAGATTTTAAAAGATAAAGATAAATGATCCAGAATTCCATCCGTATCAGCCAACCAGTGCATCACCTCTAGAAAGAGCATTGTTCATATGCTGTGCTACAGAATAATGGACATCAGGTCACTAGTTTGCAACATGTATTATGTT